AAGCAGCTGGCACCACGGAGGGCAAACATGGGCCTGTCGGAGGAGGCCAGAGGCCGCTGGATGGGCCAGAGGCCACAAAAGCCACAAGAATCCTGAGTCTGGCATGGCAGAGCAACAGCTTAGGCCTCTTTTAGGTTGGTCTAGAGGGAGAAAGGGTTGTGCTGCATCATGGATTTCTGTGAATTTCAAGGATTTTATCTTTTGGCTTGTGCCAGTAATTAAGCTTCTCCCCTCCTTTCCATTTTTTTTCTTAATCATTTTGTTGCTTTTCTTCCTTCAGAAGGAGCCATGTGCTGCAGCTCATTCTTGTCCACTATGAAAAACAACCTCAGCAGTCTTGAAAATCGCCTTAGGTAAACAATCCATCACAGAAAACACGACAGCTTATGGGATCTGTCAGTGTTTCAGTTTTATCATTATTCCTCTGAGCCGAGCCAAGTGTTTTCCTATCAGCGCTGCATTACGTTACGCTCTGCTTACTGTCAATCACCTCACACCCGCACGAAGACTTAAAGGAAGTAATCACTCAAAAGCTTGTTGCCTTACAAACGTAACATCTGGGGGTTGCTGTAGGACGGCTGGACTTGAAAGCCTGGGTTTATAAATTATATTTTTTTAAAAGCTTAATGAAAAAAATAAAATAAGATGAAGACAGCAAGAACTGAGTTTCTTCAGCCTCTGCATGTTCTCGCTTTGTTGTCTCCTTTGTTTTTATGGGGGGGGGGGGGGAATTTTTACTTGACCGTGCAGTTCAACACAATGGGATGTCTGGTGGCACATGGGAGTATTTACCAAAGCAACACAGATGAAAGGATCTCTCTCTACCCTCCACCTCCCACTCTGTCGCTCTGTTTCCCGCCCCCGGTCTGGATTGATTTAACTGTACTGCTTCAATTGTCTCTGCAGCAGCAGATGTCGGCCATATTGAAACTGAACTTGGAGCCAGGCCTTCTCAACTGGACTCAGGGCCGTCTCAAAAGTTTGACTCATTGTTTGACTGCTGAGGTTTTCCAAGTATCACTGTTGTCCGTCAGCAGTTGGAGCAAATGTGGGTCAAGTACAGTATAGAAGTTTGCAGAAAGACGCTAAGAGAGCCAAAAAATCAAGTCAAAGTATACCCCTTCAAGATATCTGAGTTGTTCTGGCGGTGTGAATACTCTCCAACGATACTCTCAGAAGAAGAAATGACCAGTACAAATTAGATGTAGTCACTGTTTAAGCCATGAGCCACTGTTTTAGCGTCTTTTCTGCTCATTGTTTTGATTTCACGGCTCGCAACTTTATTGTTTCATTTCAATCTCACAGCTCTCATCAAATTGCCACAGCAGTGAGATATTTTCAGCAAGGAAGCTTCAAAAACCGACTTCAAGTTGCCTGCTCGTCACTAATCAGCTGACAAACAAAGTTTGCACGTAGGTAGCCATTTTTGCAGCTAGAAGACCGGATACAACCCTCAGGACTTGGTGGAGACCAAGTACAGAGGGAAAACGAGAATGAATACACAACACCAAGTGACTGCTTATTTTGCTAACTGCAGGATGTGTAAATAAGAACTTGCTCACTGACAAGTTCACCTTATCGACTTAAAATATGTCGGTGTTACGTTTACAACGTTTGTTTTTTTGCTGCCTCCATGTGGCCAAGATATGTGCTAATGCAGGGTTAAAGTAGCTTTAAAATCATCTCTACAACTGCCTGACATTGTACAATATTTTGTTTGTCAGCTTGTTCCAGCTCTTCATTGAACCAAAATGTTCAATTCCACTAATTTCCCCTGTGCTTCATTGTATATACATTGTATATAAATAAACCATTCTGATGTATTTGGTATATCTAAAACCTTTGGGGTCTCCATAACATTCAAGATAAAAACCTGTGAGTTTGAGCAATGTTTGGACCGTCCAGAAATGACACAGACGTCTACAGGGAGGCATGAAGAAAGAGGCAAACAGAAAACAGCGCAGTCATCCAGTTCTTCAGAACACGGCTTTAATCAGACACAGAGAGACTGCAGCTTTGAAATCTCCCCATTCACATTCATCTGCTCTGACATGTTTAGAGACACTGATGACAAAGGCTTAATCCAAAAAACATGTCAGAAAGATCTCTGACGGTTTAAAGAGAGAATAACAAGTTTCAGCATTTCCAGGCAAAATCATAATATTAACACTCCCACCAGGAAATGTGAGGATACAGGTTTTTCATTGGTTTTACTGTCCCATTGAGCCTTTTGACAATCAAAGCAGTCTTATTTCCACCTCTCATAGATCCCATTCCTGCAGCGGCACAAAGAGAGTGCAGTGATGCTTTGATTAGCCACACAGGACAATGCAGGGGTCAACACACCAGAACAAGCCTCCCAGTTTCACCTCCCTGCCTCCAGCTTCTCCTTCTATACAGCTCTTCTTATTAATACCCTTTCCGGGCTTCTTGCAAATCCCATCAGTGTGTTTGTCCGGATCTCGCTTGGCGGCTTTTCCGGATCTAGAGAAAAGAAGGAATTGAGAGAGAGAGAGTTAGAGAGAGAGAGAGAGAGAGAGAGAGAGAGAGAGAGAGAGAGAGAGAGAGAGGGCTGGAGTCACTCTCCCAGAGCGTGGATCCAGGATTAGAGGAAAAAGGCCAAATACCATGGAGCCTATAGAGGGAGGCAGCCATGAGGGTTAAGACGCCAAACAATAGAAATTAATTAGAACTCTCTCAGTGGAGCATTTGCTCTACTGATTAAGGATTGGGGGATTATTGGATAAGCAGGTGAAATACTTTTTTTTTGTGTGTGACGGGGTCTCCTTCACTAGCATTTGTCTCTACATGTGAAGGATTGGATGTAAACTTTACACTGCAAAAAATATTTTGGCACTCAAGTTTTAAGTTGACTGAAAAATGAATCAATACATAAGTAAAAGGTTATTAACCCCTTTTAAACCGATCCCACCCCCCCATGCATGTACCCCATGTTCTCTCTTCACTTTTATATCAAATGAAAATATTTGAGATGCCTTGTGCATCATTTTGTATACATTTAGACAAAACTCAGTCTGAAGTATTTAGTGTCATTGGAAACATTGTGTTCTGTGCTCTAATTTAAGGAGAGTTTGTGTTGACTGACACTGATGGGTTAGTTAGTTTTTATGAGGAACCTTTTACTTTTATATATGTGAAAAAAAAGTTGTACGAAGCCTTTTGTGGCTCCAGAGGAAGCTGCGTGAAGTCTGATAAATTACCTCAAGTGATGTCACTTGAGTCAGCGTCGTTGGTGCTGATGACGACAAGTGTAAAAAACTAAAAAAAATCTGGTGGTGTGAAGTTAGAAAGAAGTGAGCTCCTCATCTTTGCTTGAGGCTATAGCAGCTCGAGGCTACATTAGAAACGACTGCCATAAAACACCCAAATCTGCTGATAATCAGTGATTGTAAGTTGAAATTGAGGTTTGGTGCTTTTGTAAAATAAAATCGGTGTTTAAAGGCAGGTATAACAGAGTTGGCTCAGTGCCAGAGTGGCTGACTGATGAATGAAGAGGAGCTGGAGGCTCTCACCTCAGGGTCAAAAGATCAGAGACAAAACAGCAGAGAACCTCACGTTGAAAAGAGACAGGGAGATGGTAACTCAAGGCCAAGGTCTCTCCCTCTCACTGTCACACACACACACACGCACACACACACGCACACACACACGCACACACACAGGTGTTGGGGAGGAAAAGGCTCTGTGAAGGTTTGTTGTTCGTCGCTCCCTCCCTCCCTCCCTCCCTCCCGCCCTTCAGGCAGACAGGCGTGATGAGAAGGTGTGTAATTTGAGGGCCACAGTCAAGAAAAATGTGCAGCATTCATCATGAATGATAACGAGCCGGATGTTGGACACAAATGAAAAGAATGGAAATGCGTAGTGCTGTCCCAGGACAACTTTACCCCTTCTTAATCAGAAATAACACAAATCTACATCCGCTATTTTATCTGCGTAAACTATTTTAACAACCCAATACCACTGCGTCAACAGATGCTTGAGCGGCCACAAAAAACATATTTCACCATGTTTGAGCCCATGTACATTTGGTTCAGTCCAGTTAAACCAGTTCTGGCTTTTTGGTTGTGCTAGCCAAAGAGTTACCTTCCAGATGGTCCTTTTTATTTTTTATTTATTTGTTTGTTATTATTTTGGGACTTGTGTGTTGTTGCAAACAATCCAGACAAAACATACCTCAGATAGTCTGGTGATTGTCTGTTCTGATTGGGACATACTTGTGGTACTCAATTAGTTTTCCGGTTAAGTTATAGTCCTATTATTATAGATATCCTGCATGGATAACTCCGCAACATACTAGTAATTCCTTTGGTGGGAGATCAGGTTTTTGCCAGCCGTTATTGTTTGGAAATAATTACGAGTAAAGATGTTATGAAAGATAAAAGTAAGTAAAATGTCTTCAGTGCAAAGTCTCATATAGTTATAACTTGGTTTTCTTCAAACCCAGTGAGGAAAAAGATATGCATAGGTTGGTAAAATGTGTTGTTAATTTGAAGATTTTGCTTGTAAAGTCTCATTTTAATTAAAGGAGGTTATTGAAAAATAATGTGACACAAATATTAATATGGCACCATGAAACTATGATGATATGTTGTTGCTGCTGCTTTGCAGTTTTGCATTTAGTATGAGTGAAATAATAATAATTAAGACTCAAAACATCTCAAGATTCACCTTGTACACATGGGCGACTTTTTCCTTCGGTGCGCATGTATAGGAGAGAAAACTCCAAAAACATGCTCCGCCCCTACAATCTCTACAGAGGCGGGGGGGGGGAGAGAGTCCAGTCTCTAAACACACGTACAAACCCTCCTCCAGCACGTACGGAGGACGCGCGTAAAAGCAACCGAGCTGCTTCATTTCATCAGAGAACTGGAGCGTTGAACTCACCCAGAGTGTCCCGTAGTGAAGTTTGGACTTTCCTTTGTTTTCTATCTGCAATTTTTTTTTTTGAACCTCGGGTACGGGGGTGGGGGGGGGGGGGGGTGTTATTGCATGTAGTGTTGCATGAGTGTTTCCTAATGATGCTCGGATATCCAAGGAGTGTTTGGTCCACGCTTTGGATTCATAATATGAGTGGGAATACACATGGACGCTGCGTAAAGGAAAACCTGAACTCCCAGTGTGACCATTGAAGTTCGTGTCAATCCTCCAAAGGGCATTATGGGTCTCTCATCTCTACTGCTTCTCGTTGCTTTTCTGGGTAAGAACCTTTTTAAGTTACCTGAATTGACTCTGATCCATGAAGTGCAGCAAGTGTAGAGGTTCGAGTGAAACGTGTGTTTGACTCCACGTGTACATGGTAAACAAAATGTGTAAACAGCCTAGAAGCTCTGTTGCATAATCCATAGAGACGGGTGAGATCATCTAAATTATTTATGCTTTTTTAAAATTTAATTTAATTTTGAAATGCTTTCTTCCTCTGTGGAGCGTATCTGTCAGTCAAGAACCTGACATTCCTCTCCTCTCCTCCCCTCAGCACACCTGTTTATCATCATAGCTGTGTGTTTGTGTCCACCAGCTCTAATAGTAATAATATTTTCTGGATAAGTTATGCCACAGTGATGAACATGTTTGAAGGGTAAAAGGCAATAAAAAGCTTCCCCGGGGCTGCTGGGCAGATGAAAGCACTCGTGGGGGGTTAAGAGCCACTTAAAGCATCAATTCCTGATGAAACCCCGTCTGAGCAGCAGAGGATTATGGGACTGCAGTTGACCCAATCCATCTGCTGGCAGTGACAGAGGAAGGCAACATTTGGCTGCAACTTCAAATGACTGGGTTGAGATAAAACGATATTTTGGAGTCCACTTACTCTTAAGTGTGTTTGAGTGAATCTAACGTTCAATTAAGTGGTGTGTTATTGCAGCCTTTCGTAGTGGCAATGGAAATGCACTGTCAGGTCGGATCAGTGTGTTACTGGAGGGAGAAAACCTCAGCGAGAGCTTCAGAGAGTTAAAGGTCATAAAAGACTCATGGAGCAATGAAACATGGAGCAGCTGCTGCGTGTACTTCACCTTTTTAATGATATGAATAAGACGTCTGCTGGGCTTTAATACTGTAGGGTACATTTCATTTCATCTGTAAATATTCAGCAATTTTCAAAATGTAAGAGAATGATTGCTCAACTATTTGCTCAAGTAAGTGCTTGTCCTACAACTTTTTGTTTTCATCTTGATGTTGGATATAGAAGAAGTGAAGATATGTGCGATTCTCTCTCATATTTTGGGGATTGCCAGTGCAGGAAGTGGACATGATGGCAAACAGTAACAATACTAATAGAAAAAAATATATATATTTTATATATACTTCAGAGATGAAATAGAGTCAGTCAGACAATTATAAATCAGCGTTTTTTGAAACGCAAACACCTAAACACAATACAGGAACATATTTTAAAGTTATGTTCAGAGAAACAAGTGTCAAACATACATAGAATGCAGCCTATAAAACATTAATTCAGTTTATTTATTTGCATGCATATTACTTATACATACATATACGCAGCTATACTGTTTGTTATATGTACCGGTGTATATACTGTACCTCGCATGCATATAGCTAATAAAACACAAAATGTAATACATTAATGGATTTTTAAAAGGATTATGCTTGTGAGATCAAAAAAAAGGGATTAAATATATATATATTTGGGCAAAATGATTATCACGATAGTTTGATCAATATTGAGGTTGTGATTATTCATTGATTTTTAGAGACAAAATATTTTATTGCACATTTAAATAAACATCCATGTTGTGCTATATTTATGCTCATATACAAAACTTTGCGTCTCAATAACACTGGTCTTTATTCACAGTGCATCTCCGAGCAAAATACAAATAAAATTGTACCAAAACTTTTTACCCAAAAATATAACTCTTCTGCTCTGGCCTGCAGCTGCAACATTTTGGAAAGTTTTTCATGGGCTGCCAGTGTAGGCTGCTCGCACAGCCGCATGAAAGCGCCACAAAAGTGAAGCCAAATTAACTCGATTTCCCCCTGTTGGCTGGCTCTTAGTTTAGGAACAGATTAATTTTATATGCTGATCAAGTTGTGATCAAGATTAATTGTGCAGCCTTATAACAACTTCAATATTGCGGGTAAGGTAGTCGATGTCTGACGATGATATCGGCCTGCTAATACATCAGTTGGACTCTGTTACAGTCACTGCTACAGTTTTGGGTCTTGTCAGGATGAATGAAATGTATTACTTTAGTTTCGGTTGTCAGGCAATCAACACTGTGATGTTTGAGTTTCAAAGAGGAGAATATTCGTCATTCCTTCAGGTAAAGCACTGATGGTGAAGAATGGACCCTTGACAAAATGATTTCACCTCACGGTCAATTTAGTAGCTGCTCTACAACTTTTAATTACATCACAGGATCTTTATCAACATGCAGAGTTTGACCTGGAATTTTAAATGTTCAATTTCCACTTTCTTTTTTTTGTCCACGTTGGCTTAAATGTTGTGCTTTCTGCCTCTGGACTTTGGAAACGGAGGAAGAGGCTTGGTAGTTCCAGAAAAGCTTGGTGCTAAATGAACTTTGAGATGAGACTAAATGGACCCTGTTGGTGTGAAATTATTGTTCCATCAATGCGTGGTACGTGTTGATGTGCATTTTAGATAATTTAAGCTTCATCACACAAAGAGTTTGAGTTTCTAAAAAGTGAACATCTTCTAGCGGTGTGACAGTAGGGATGGCAGTTTAGGATGGTCGGTCGGACCCCTTTGGTCCTCAGACTGAAATATCTCAACAGCTATTAGCATGGATTGCCATGTCATTTTGTACAGAAAGCATGCTAATGTTAGCATCACCCCGCTACATGCTATAGCCCCACAGAACTTCTAGCATGGCTATTTGTGCTAGCATTTAGCTCAAAGCTCCATTGTGCCTATAAAGTCTAACTGAGCCACTGACAAGTCTGTAGACACGTACAAAAACCATTTATGACTTTACTTCAACTTCTTAAGATATATATGTATCAGACTTGAAAAAGGGCTCTATTCCCCCCTGAAATATTTAGAAAGAAATAAACAATACTCAAGCCAGTACCGCAATTCATATTTGACCTCTCTACTTAGTACAGTCCTGACAAATCCTTCCAAAGTTTAATGTTGTCTTCAGGTCCAACATGGTCACTGCCAAATGCTAAGATAATACAAAGAACAGTCCTTTGTCTGGTCTCTGCTCTGGCACTTCTCGGTTATTCCCTTCCCATAAACGATGTGGAGTCTCTCTGCTTGTCAGGGGTCCCAGTGCTGTTACCTCACTGGTGGGATCAGGCCAACTGGAAATGTTCTCTGTGGTTTGGGGCTCTGGGAGTTTTATGGGTGCTTTGATTTAGATAGAGAGCAGCAGTCTGGGAAAGCAGCTTCAGCAAGGCACTCGAGAGGGTCGAGCCTGATTATTGCCTTAATGTGGGGAGCGCTTTCTTAAAAGAAAGCTTTTGGAAGAAACTCACACTCATTATGTGTGGAGGCGCTTCCTTTTCAAAAGTAATTTTACAAAGAGTCTGCCCATAACCTCTTTTTAATAATTTCCTCATTTATTTTTCTGTAAGCCTGTTTTCCATTCTGAGTTCTTGTTTGGCTTTGATGTAGACAAAATGTCGTCATTAAAAAAGAAGAAATGAAGCTTGTGTTTCATTATGATTATGATATTCCCACAGAGCCACAAATAAATGTTGAAATAAGACTCTGGATCAGGTCTGTCACTGCTGCTCAGTCATCCACATCTGTTATCAAAATAGCTACATAATGTTGGACTTTTTTTTAATGCAATTTATTGTCAGTTTAGAGTATAAATTAGCTTTCCTTTTTAACATGAAGTGTCTGTTTAGGTGAGTAGATTTGTTTGGAAGCTGGCAAGGAGGGACGTTGAAGATACTGGAGAAATATATTCATTCAGTATCTCTGTTGAGAACATACATGATCCAGATTTCCTAGCATCTTCCTGTGTGTTACTATATCATATCCATAATATCTGTTGCAGAGCTGATATCGAGTGGTATTTAAATCCAATATGGCTGATTCTTGGGATCTTTTCAGAGTTTTTGATTGTAGCGTTGAGTGTTATCTGTCCCACCTTCTTCTCCGCTTTGCCATTGTAGTGTAAATCCAAACCAAAAAGTTTTGTTCCAATTCACAACGTTAACCACTTGTTTAAAACAGCAACCCTTTCCCTTTTGCTCATGTCACAGCTACTCTTCAACGGTCATGCAAATTACATGTCATTTTGGGACTCATTGGCAAATAACCTCTTAGGTCGTTTTAAGTATGAAGATGTGTTGGCAAATATCCACATCTGAGAAGCTGAGTATTGACTAAGCTGGTCTTTTTACGTGTGTGTGTGTGTGTGTGTGTGTGTGTGTGTGTGTGTCCCACACTGCAATTCACCTGCTTGCATTAAACATCTCACCAGGTTTTCTTTTAAATTCACACACACATACTTGGTAGTTTCTGCTCTCATCATTGTAAAAGCAACTGTTGGCAGCCACTTAGGCTTTTTCCTCTGATCCACAACGGACTGCAGGTGCAAAAAACAGCCTCACACACATAAACACGCACACAGACAACTGTGAAGCCTTTTCTTTGACTTTTTTAAAAACACAAATCCAGCCAGCAGCGTTGCTAATGCCACCAGCTGAGTCGGGGGGGATCAAGTCTCCCCCCTGTCCAGTGTTTCCACTAAGCAGCGCTGTGATGTGGTGATTTACACACATAGGAGCTGCCATCGATGGGTGTAAACAAACTGGATGGACCTTTGTTCTTCATGGAGCTTCTGGCTTCTTTAATCACATGGTTTTTTTTGTTCCTCCCTTGGTGTTAGTCTCAAATTAAAAGCACTGAGGCGACTGCAGCGGCATTCCAAGGTGTTAAATGCTATTGCCCAGCATGTTGGGTCCAGCTAGAAAGAATTTAAAGCAAAGTCTTCATATTTCAAGGTAGATTTTGGTGATATTAGAGTATTACATTGAATAAATCCTTGCTGGAATGTGGCTTCAAGGCTTTTCTTTGGCTGAAGGCATTAAAAATGCTTTCATTTCCGATATTGTATCCCCTTAAGCTCAGCCCGTTGTTGAGCATATTGTTATTTCATGTGGTGCATCGAGGGTACGCAGACAGGGTGGGAACTCGATCTTCAATGCTGCTCTTGTCCTTTTTAACTTTCTTTGTAGCTTGATTTACAGTTTATTTTAGCGTTTGTTTCAAGTCAGCTGTGAAGGTTCTTCAACCTGGACTTCTAAGCTTTGCCTTTTCATCACATGTTTAGCTAATATTAACCCATAAAAACTCCACTCATAGCAGGTGTTGCAGGTTATGGATGAAGCCCTGTAATCCCCGGGTGATGACATGAGTTAAAATAACTACAAAGAGGCCTGACTGATTGATCAAGCAGAGTGAAAACATGAAAGCCAAACCTCAAACTAAACAGACAACCTTTTTCTCTATTTGAAGTAAATGTAATTAACTTCATTATCAGTTTAAAAGCAGTTGAGCTTCATTTATTAGGTGCTAAAGATTTAAAAGAAAAAAAGATCTTTAGTGGTTTATTCAACATTTCAACCTCAACGAAGCATATGTCTGAGGTTAAAACAGCTGAATGGCTTATTCAGCATCAGTGTATCTATTCAGGATTTCAGTATAATTCATTACACTGCGTTAATACTCAAACATGAAAAAAATATAGTTATTATTTCACATTTTAACAATAAAATCTGTTTCTCTTTATGAAGAGCAATTGAATTAATAAAATTGAAATCTCACCCAACCTTTTGGTGTCCTTGTTGTGTCCGCAGGCTGGGCTGAAGGTGGTACCTCTCTTCACTACTTAGACGGTCGGTCCAGCCGCCTCTCTCTGGAGAAAACCTTCGGCCGATCGCTCAAAGACTCCCAGTGCAAACACATGTTGAAGCACCTTCACAACGGAGCCCGAATCACTGTGCAGATGCCTCCCAGCGTAGAGGGTCACTGGGTGTCCACCAGGTAAAGAACGACGACTTGTCTTTTCTATGCATCTTTCGTTCACAGGCAGGCAGGAAGATTTGACATACAAAATCTAATGCAACTATCCCCTATATGTTTAACAAGGGCATTAAAACATGACATGTAGCCTATAGTTTAGGTGTTTTTGCTTGTTACTTTGAAGTGTACATAACACCAACAAGATGAAAAAACACACAAGAACTTCAATAAAAGAGAAGTTATAGAAGCATACAGCTCCTGGCAAGTCTGCACCTGAACTGCACCTAATGCCCCCCTATACTTTACCCAACATGGTACAGTCTTAGCTCCCTCTACTATAAAGCCCATTGGAAGCTCTCACTTCCTGTTTAGCAGTTTAGATCAATGACCTGCAGGTAATGTAGATGGGAGCTCGTCAACAAACATTTTGCCAGTTGAAGTTAATACAACTAATGATTTCATTTCATTATTAAATCTATCGAGTGGTTATTTCATTAACAATGTGAATAATGACAGTATGCACACTGAGATGACCAGATATTCGCCTACTAATGGTAGCAGGTTAGCATGCTACATCCACATGTGCTTATTATGCTAACATAACACAGCCACAAAGACTTTTCCATTAATTCCCTGCTGGCATCTGCATTACCACAACATAACTTGCTGCACACTAAAACACTCTAGACCAACTTAAGACCTTTTGGCATTTATTGAAACATATTTTGAATAAGAACTTGCACGGTGTTTATCTGAAACCTCTGTTTCCTGTTGCAGCTGTGAGGTGAGACCAGGTCCGGAGTTCTTGACGCGCTCCTACAGTTTCTACTCCAACAACACCTTCCAGGCTCACCAGTTCTACTATGAAGACAACCACTGCACCAAACCCACCTACACCCTGGTGATCCGGGGTCGTCTCCGCTTACGCCAGGCCTCCTGGATCATCCGCGGCGGCACAGAGGCAGAGTACCACCTCCACCACGTCCAGATGGTTTGCCACACGGCCACCGTGGCCAAAGAGCTCAGCCAAAGGTTCAACCGCAGCTGCAGAGGAGCCGTGAAGGGCCCCTGGGAGCCCAGAGTGATCTACGAGTTGTGGAGCGAGGAGGGCGGCTACGACTGCTCCAGGGAGCTTAACTTTGCCATGCATGAGCTGCAGCTGCTGAGGATGGAGAAGCAGTACCTGCATCACAACATGGATCACCTGGTGGAGGAGCTGTTTCTAGGAGACATCCACACCGACTCGTCCCAGAGGCTGTACTACAAGCCGTCCAGCTACCAGACCGCCCTGCAAAATGCCAAGGTAAGTCCTGAATGATCATCTCTCAGGTAGAGGAAAGAGGGGGAAATGTGGCCGTGGAGTCTTTAAAGAGCCAAAGTATAGCTGCAGTAATTCTGTAGATTGCCCTTCCAAGGGATCCCAACATAATTATAAGGTGTCGTGAGGTGATAACCAGAGTGGGAAACAAGAAAAAAACTGAATTCTGAAACTCAAAAGAGATCTCTTCCCATCCACTGTGTTGTGTGTTTGTTGGAATGCACGACCAAGCCACAGGTAGGGTTTTGTTTTCCGTCCTGAGCATGCAGCTCGGTGGAGAGCCTCTGCTGAACTCAAGTCCCGCTGTGTCGACCCTCCCCACCGCAAAGACCACACAGACCAGAACCAGCATGAACTGACCTGAAGATATGAGAGTTTATCTTAAGCGTAGCCTAAGCAGTGCTGTGAGGAGACCTGGGTAAAATAGCATTTGAAAGTAAGTCTTCATGTTTTGTTTATGAGGTATCAGAGCAGTGCTCTGTGCTGAACAAGTGTAGAAGGCTGAATGTCAAGTGTTTGTAATATTATAACTTGTGAGACAATCTGAATTGTTTTGCGGCTGTAAACTCCACCTGTCTGTGGTAACAAACCACACTTTAAGACTTATTCAACTACCGTTTTAATCCAAATCTGATTTAGGATCAGTGTATATGCAAAGATCTTGCCCCTCTACACTAAACATTTGCATTAGTCGAAACCAGAAACTGTGTACATACTGACTTCATCTCCAAAATCTAGCATCAAGAAAGAGCCCTTTCTTTCCTCCGCTGTGCTTGCGGGATGTAATTTCTCTATTTACACTGCTGAACAGCATTCCCCCCGCTGGGTGAAACCCTAGAGTGATGTTTTCACTGTCACCCTCTACAGAGATTACAATAAAATCATGTTCGGGTCCGCTGTCTAAATAAATATCCATTTGAACGGGGATGATGGGGCTTGGTGTTGCTGATCGCAATGTAAACAGTGTGGAGTGAGGATCTGTGATCAGACACGCTCCCCTGTGATTCTGCAATGACCAGAGCTGCTCTCCTTAAGCCCCTCTGGTCCGCAGAGGCGCAATGTGAAACCCGGCTATCTCTGGGAGCGCTCAACATGTTGTATTCCTAGAATTTGGGATCATGCGGCCATATTAATTATTCCAGCGAGCGCATACCAGGTCTGATTTCAAGCATGACTGAGGCTCAAATCAAAGTGTTGCATTTGCTCTATTTCTCCTCCATCTTTTCTGAATAGGAGTAAGGCCCGGGTGTGATTCACTTGTTGCAATTAAGGGTCAAACATAATTACAGCATTGCCTTGAAGGGATAGTTCTGTTGTTGTTGTTTTTTAAATGGGGATGTATATGAGGTACTTATCCATAGTCAGTCTTACCTACAGGAGATGGCGGTCAGAAAGTTCTGTAGAAAGTTGTTCCAGTGTAAAATAAGAATAACTCAAAATGTTTCTGAAAACATAATGCTGTTGAAATTTGCACGAGGCAATATTTTTGTGGTCTAATAATTGTTAAAATGAAATTACATTGTATATGCGTGGAGGCAAAAAGCAGTCTTATCCCTGTTGAGAAAAGTGAGGACATTTTATTTTGTAATTTGAGTGAGCTGGCTCTTTAAGTTTGGCTTCTATAATAGCATTTTTTTAAACATCATGATGTATTGGTAAAATTTGGGCCGCATTGGTCACCAGCTATGCACGTACAGTAACTTCTGTTTTAAATTGTATACTTTTTGGGTGAAACGGTGGTAGAAAGTACCTCACTCCTTCCTACACAAAAAGCACTAAATCCGACCATCTCTCGAGGTTGTAACGGTTTCTTTTCAGGGATTTTTATTGCAATGGCTGACGATCCAATCCATTAATCATAAGCGGTGTACCCAGAGCTGGTCCCCGTCCAGAGCGTTTGCTGGTGCCAGCATGTTCATTGGTGGTTATTGGGTGGATCTCAGAAGTGTGACGCAAGAGCGAGGCAGCAGACTTTGTTTTTAAATTTGTTTCTGTTCCGTTCTCTCCATTCTCTGTCGCCTGGTTCACTGTTAGAGTAACGAGCACTTGATAATGATGCTTGTTAGGAAGGGATCTGTGTTTTTATATTGTTGTTGTTGTTGGTAAAGTGTTTCGGTGGTTATCGTGTTTTCACATGTATCCCTCATGCAGAGAGTCATTTGTTACGCTTTCCTAAGTTTGGTTTGTGCTTTGTTGTCTTTTGCTACTTCTTTTTCCGACTATAAGCCTTTGAAATATATTGCAAAGACTCTTGTTATGAATTCACTATTAACTATTCACTATGTTTTACTATTAAATATGATTTTTTTGTTTTTAGATTAATATCACTAATGCGTACGTTGCATTGTACTGCTGTAGATGTTTATATTCTGTAATTATATTATATACTGGTGGGTAGTTTAATAAACAGCAGCACATCATATTCTTTAAGATCACCATGTATTTTCTGATCAAAAAGGGTTTTAAAAAAGTTTATTTAGCTTAAAAAGTAGGATAATTTTCACACACGCATGAACACAAAGTAACACTTCACCTTTCAGTTCATCACAAACATTCAACATCAACACATGTGGAGATGTATGTTTCCAACTAGACAGGGGAAACTGTAATCTGAACAGTAAGCTGTCAGATAACTGTAGGGGAGTAAAAAGTACTACATTTGATCTGAGATTCAGTGCAGTGGAAATATAAAGTTGCATGAAAGGGAAGCACTCAAGTAAAGTTCAAGCACCAATTGAGTAAATGTACTAAGTTGGGTGTAGTTTCTATTATATAACCAATAACTGTTTTAAAGCTTGACGTGGTTTCTGTTCCTCGTAAAATGTTTGCTTCTGGACATCATCTTCCCCTGAACTATGGCGGTAATCCCCAAAATCCCCAAATGAAAGATTTCTGCCCAAACAAAGTGTAATTCAGTTCTAGTTCTCCTTGATCTACTGTGACGTGGATTGTACGCCAATACGGACCAAAGTGTCCGCCAAATGTCGCAGTAAAAATGAAATGAATAAATGTAATTTTATATGAAGCAAGAGAAGTAATATCCTTCCTCATTTCCTCATTTATTTTCTTCAATTCCAAGAAGAGTATAAAATGATTTGAATCCAGCGTGAAGACCCAACAATTTATTGAAACACAAGCTTGAACACGTTGGACATTGTGTGCTATGGAATCTACAAACTGCGTATTTTGCTGTTTAAATGTAAAGTAATAACTTTACATTGAAACAGCAAAAAAAAAAGGTTTACAGAGAGCAGCTTGTCCATGCTTTCACCCACTCAAATTGAGAATGGTTTGATCCGTTAACGAGCTGAACGGTAGTCAATAATAAATTAGCTGATTGACAGAAAAACTAATTTAACTATTGTAAATAACTTTCAATTAAAAAAAGACAAATATTCTGTGGTTCCAGCCTCAATTCCTGGTGACAAATTCTCATTTTTCACTTCCTCTTTTGAACTATATTTCTTAAGAGAAGTCACTCGTTTGTTCCCTGTTAGTCTTAGTTTAGTTTTATCTGGTTTTCTCAGTTGGAGAAGCTTCCAGTAAAACCATAAACTGGATTATAATCATTATTTCGAATGTTTGAGGCAAGTATGGTGTCACAACAGCAGTAAAACTTTTATTTGTAACCTGCAAATAATTGTACAAGCACTGGGTAAAGCTTGCCTGAAGCGGCTCTGAACTGGCTTTAACACTCAATGGTGTTATTTCCACTGGGGATGGGGGAAGGAGGCCCATGATTCCCCCTGAATTTATCTCGTATCAGGTTGATTTTCATACTAAAATCTTTCTGAACATTGTTCCTAGTGTCCAGCCTCCACAGTTTACACGCGAGAAGAGAGCAGTTGATAAAAATGTTGACATGTTCATAGTCCGGCCATTTTTTTCTGCTCAGACAGGCTGTCTGTGTTTTATGGGCTCAAGATCTGGAACATGTTTTCCACACCTGCAGCCGTCTGCTCTTTTTCTTGTCTACACATATGTGTTAAAATAAACTCTCTGCATACTTTATTTATTTTCCCTCCTCTTACACACATACAGTATATATGTCTTAATCGTACATATAAGTAGATGTAAACGTGCACTACGCTCTCACACAGACGCGGGGCTGGATTCAGAGGAGGCCTCCCCTCCAGCTGTGCCATTAACCCGTCACTCTGAGGCGTTTTTTTCGAGCTGCACTGGGATTATCTCATCTGTAGGAGGTGGTGACTTTTTTTTTCTCCTTATTTCAGAATTTTTTTACTTCCCATGAATCCCATGCAGACATAGTGTTGTCTGAGAAAAGAGTGATTGGGTTGGTGGGGTTAGGTCTTAAATTTTGACCACCCATCAAATAACAAACACTCTACCGCCTCCCTGGAGTTTAGTCGTTGGAAGAGACTTTGTGGAATACAGTACGATGAAGGCTTCCAGCTCCGTATCCGTCAGGCCCTCAAGTCTTTTCTGCAGCCAGAGACTCACAGCTGTCCTGCTTGTGGATCCAATGATCACACGCTGCACCGGGGCTCCACTAAACAAGACATGATATGATTTTAATATGATTAATGGTCATTTATATACTTTTTTTTTTTTTCATGAGGGTGAGGAAGACACCCTGCTGTTGATTTGTAAGTAAGTTCAGCTCCCTGTTCGCGGTGTGACTTCCTGTTGTCATGGCTGTAGTTCAACCAGACATCTGTCTTTTACAGTAAAATGATGCGATCACCCTGAGAAAATGCTCGTCTGGCTTCCAAAACTCAAGAGAATCAGACTGAAGGAAACTGTTTTTCCTCCTTCACCCCCAAACTGACGCCAGAAGTTTTTTGTGTATATTTAACAATACTATATTCTGATAATGATTTAAAACAAGCTTACAGTGCTGACGGATTTAATATGACTGGTTTTTTGTACAGCGATGCTCAAAGGGAACTTCAGCTCAGAGTTTGCAAACAGATCAACAGCTCATGATTTTCATTGTTAATTTTTGTTAATTTTTGTAAATGTTTCACCTGCAAAAATGTACTTTTACGCTTCTGTATCAATAGAGCCCAACAGATATCATTAGCCGATATTAGCTCATTGCTGATTTATCAATAAGTGTATATGTCGTCTGAGGAATTTCAGTTTAGAAATAAAGATTCTTTTCTGTTTTAATGTAGTTTCGTCTCCATCACATGCCTGACCAGAGGGCAAGCTTTTTTTTAACTATAAAATGTCTGTTATTGTTTATTTAATGCAAATTTAGTGTTTTTCGTGTGATAAGTGTTGATATGGGAAATAAATCTGTAAATGTTCTGTTGTTGACTTGCTGCTCGTCTGCGAATCACTCAGTGGCTTTGGGCCCAAATACATCTCTGATATGCTTTTGCGATATGAACCTTCTAAAACCTGTTGGGACTAGCTTACTGGTGGTCCCAAAGGTTACTTTACATTTTGAATCTCTTGTGTACTGTTTGAATTGTAAAACTTTTATCTTTGCTGTGTTTGTATTGAATTTCCCTGGTGTGTGACATGTGACACATTAAGTCACCTTGCCTAATACAGTTGCTTAAGAAGCAATTGGTTTTCTTTATTAAGGATCTTTATTTCAACATAACCTCCTGTTCGTGTTGTTTTAATTAGTTTTTCATGGTTATTGTAGTTTATGTAGTTGTATTTGTATATACTAGGCTCACCTTTCTCTCCCTTGTTTTTCAGAACCATGACCACGGCTGCATTGTATGTCGTATCATCTACCGCTCAGATGAGTTTCACCCTCCCATCCTGCCGCCGCGAGCCGACCTGACTGTCGGGTTGTACGGTCAGTGGGTGAGCCAGCGCTGCGAAGTTCGCCCCGAGGTCCTTTTCCTCACCCGTCACTTCATCTTCCACGACAACAACCACACGTGGGAGGGACACTACTACCACTACTCTGACCCCGTCTGTAAACACCCCACCTTCACCATCTACGCCCGCGGACGCTACAGCAGAGGGCTTCACTCCACCCGCGTCCTGGGCGGGACAGACTTCGTCTTCAAAGGTGACTGGTTGATATTTTCTGGTCTTAAAGCTAATGGGTTTTTTTTCAAACGTTAAATGCAAACGATTCTCAGAAGAGTTCAAGTGCCTAGAAAAAAACGAATCTTCCCTAATTGTTCTGACTTTACCTTTATTCAATGAAGGACAAAAATAGTACAGATAAATAGAGAAATTTAAAAAAAAAAATACTCAGAGGTATAAAACTAAAATAAGAATAGAAGTAAAAAAACTATATAAGAGAAATTAAAGACAAAATTACAAGGTAACATCTGCAAGTTTTAGTTTAATAGTTTACACCAATATATGATGACGAGGACATCTTAAATCCTTAACTATGTTTCTACTCCTCCTTTTTGATTGTTGATACAACTATTTCGGTACGACTCTTTGTAACAGTCCGATAAGTTAAAGGAATGGTTCATTTTGGGAAATATTTTTATTCGCTTTCTTGCTTGAGAGATTAATGAGAAGTCTGGGACCGAGTTTTATGTACACTGACTTCCTTTCACCATTAGACAAGGCGACCAGCTGAAACTGCAGGAAGTTACTGCAACTGGCCAAGAAACAATCCCGCACATAAAAACAACAGGTCTTTTTTTACACTTCAGATTTAATGTATGCAATGTCATTTATGACATTAGAGGTGCTGGTAGGCGGATTTTCAAAACTTCGTTTTTCCCCTATTTTTGTAGTTTTGGCAATTGTTTCTATCCATTATGTACTCATCAAGTTAATTATCTGAATCTTGGAAAATGATGACATCATTAAACATATCTCTGCCGTTATCTTGGTGAGTTATCATAACTAACAGAAAAAATAGCCAAAATTACAAAAGAATAGGGCCAGAGTTGTAATGACATGCAGAGAAACATTGCATCCAGTTGAAGGTTTAGAGTCCTTTGCACCACATCACTACTCTGGGGTTTATCAAAAACGAGAGGTTCAGTCCTGCTGGTGTTACTCTTAGTGTGCTTTTCGTTATGCTGAATTATGCTTCCTCACGTCCTCTCTCCTCCCACGACCGGGAATTGTTCCCCCTCTACCATATTGGAGGATCTTCCAATCTCTTAAATGCACTGCGAGGAGAGAGGGAGGGAAGGGAGGAGGCTTTTTGAGGAGCTTAGAGCAAGGAAAAACAGGTGTATCCTACACAGACGTTTTTAATCCAGTGACGTGATGTAACAGTTTAATTTAAAACAACTGTGGAACCAAGGATTTCTTATCTTCGGCTCTTCCTCGCGTCTATATCACATCCTCGCTTGGAGGAGCTGAGGCGTTAGGAAAGCGAGGAGAAACACTGAAGGAGTTAACAGATCTTATGTCTTTTCTCCCCTAGTGAACCACATGAGAGTAACTCCCATGGACTTTACCACCACCTCCCTCCTCAACGTCTTCAATGGTAACGAATGTGGTGTGCAGGGGTCCTGGCTGGTTGGGGTGGAGCAGGACGTCACCTTAACCAACGGCTGCGTGGCTCTGGGCATCCGGCTCCCCCACACAGAGTACGAGCTTTTCCGCATGGAGCAGGATGCCCACGGTCGCTACCTGCTCTACAATGGCCAACGTCCCAGTGACGGCTCCAGCCCCGACCGGCCGGAGAAGCGGGCCACATCCTACCAGATGCCCCTGATGCAGTGCTCGGCAAGCAGCCAGTCGTCCGAGAACAGCAGAGAGGACGACGGGCCTCTGCTGCATCACAATGACTGCACGGGATGGCACAGAGGCAGCCAGCAGCTCGTCGAGGTGACTCTCGTCGCATTCGTCGCGTCTTTGCTTCTCAGCCGGCAAAGCTAGAGAGCAGTTAGGGATTTTTGTCGACATAAGACGCAACAAGACAAAAGTGTGGATTACAAGAGCAGACGGCTAATTTTAACGTTTTACTTCTCTGATGTGAAAGAGGATGAAAACTGGTGCTTCTGATCCTCTGAACTCCTTGCCAGCTACCAAAAAGACTTGACGCTGCTGCACCACAGAAACTTTAGCACTTTAGTGTGGAACCAAAGACCAAGCTGTCTGTTTTTTCCACAAATATTCAAAGACGTCTATATATCCACACAGACCTGAGAGTATGTTTTATACAGTGTATTTACCTGCAACTATCAAGTCATCAAGACTCAGTTTGATGTGGGGAAACCTTTTCTACAATAACCTCTTGACAATAAGCTCCTTGTCTCGAGACGTGCTTGTGAATAGTCACTGTTTACAGTAAAAGGCACTACACTACTCAGAGCTCCATATTCACTGGCCAACACTTGACCTTCTTTCTATTGGGGACATTTTTAAATGATATTGTACTCGGATTGGGAAATGGCACCTGGAAAATTGGCATATCAACTAGCGTTCATAGACTTCAGATGCACTCGGCAATACGGCTAAATTCAATACAATTATGAGAATATTTTTTTTAAAATAAATATCGACATTGTAAATGTATGAAAAATGAATGCATTGAACGGTGTTCCATTGTTGTGTGCGAAAATGTGTTCATTTTAAATTACAATTTCCTTGGAATTATCGCAATATGTTTCCAATACCTATCTATGAAAAGGAGAATATTGAATCGTTGTCCAGCCTCATGTGCAATCCCAAGCTGACATGTTTTGTTTTTTTCTCGGTTAATGGAATACATGCAAAGAGACTCGAATACATTTATATTCCTAGACATAAATAGGCCTCTGATCTATCAGACCAACATGTAACAGAAAACAAACATTGAAAATAACTGTCTATGTTCCAAATAAGATCGTGCTTTAAAGTCAAGTTTTTTTGTAACAACAGAGAAGGCTGAGGTTAACCAGGAATTTAAGTATTTTTTGGGGTAAATATTCTTTCAACTTTTTAGAACAATGATCTAACATGAATAACTGGACATTTATGTAATTGCAGATTCTGGTCCAAAAGCACTGTATAAAAGCCGCACCATGTCCAGATTGTGCAGCTCCTTGAAAAGGCTTCCATTGGGGGAATCTGTGAAATTTTAAAGTTAAAGACAAAAAGATTTGGTTCATTTGTAGATTTGAGGTTTCTGTGGCATTGCGGTCATCGGGTGTGGCACAGTATCGGCTCTCTTCAGTTCTTTAGTGGGATCTCCATTATAATATTCATGAAGGACTCTGTGATATCGTCACGCTCATGATAGTGGACCAGTACATGTTTGAGAGTTTACCAGCATGCTTCTGCTCTACAACAAAACTTTCAGACAGTGTTCAACAAAGACGGAACAAACATGCCATCACAGCATACTTTATTTTTGCAGTGGAAAAACGTTCTTAGTCTCATTAATGCAGAAACCTGTATTGGACTTCAAGAAATGTATTTTTGTAACTGGATACATGTATATAATAAAAGGTTTGATACTCTATCTAATGAGTCCATTTTTTAAAATGTTGATTTTTTGTATACTTTGTAAAAAAAAAAAAATAGTATCTACTTGAATTGTCAACAGTATGCTGTCAAGTCATAAGTGTATAGCATGTTGAAAAATTGATCCCTCAAAATGAAAGCACCCACCGTGTATTTCCTGTGATTTTCAACCAATATTCTATTTGAGATGCAACAGCTGGTCATCTAATCAGCTCCTCTGTTGCCTCATATTTACAATCATGTAACATTCGGCTTGTCGCACACCATCTCCATGCAGTAACAGTAAAGCATGTAATGCTTAAGTCGCTCTCTCTCACTACTGTAACGAACAAACTAAAATCTCCTGGTCTTTTCCCACGCTTGTCTGTCCTCCAGGAGACGGTATGAATCATACATCTCGCTTTAATTCAATGATTGCAGGTTTCACTTTAGGGGAAAATAAGACTCTTGTAAAGAAGGTTCTGTATTTTAGCCATCATGCTGAATTGAATTAAGTTTTGGGCCAAATGACCAGCATTCTATAATGTGCCAAACTACTTTGGCAGAACAACCTAAAAAATACTTTGTGCAAGATGAAACCATTAAAATGTGTAAGAATCTCCTCCCTTCACAACTAAATTTAGAATCCAAAAGAGATCCAAACTTCCCGTCAACAAACAAAGCATAACTCAACACTAGAGTCTTCTTCAATTAAAGCTCGTAACAGAGCAGGAGTCTGAGGTTGTGAAGCATGTTCTAGTTCTCTGGCTCTTTGCAACTAATCACTGAAAGACAAATATTAGTAGAAATGTTGAGTAATTAAAACGCATGGTTAGCTCACATATTCTACGTTGTCCTTGTACTGAAAAAGAAACGTTGGTGGCAAGACGGAGCGGAGAACCTGGCACACAAACACAATACACTCATTTCATGGAATGAAATAATATTTAAAGGCGTATCATTGAAGGAGAGAGACAGGAAAAGACTGCTATCAAAACCATATTGTTTTTCATTTTTATTTCTTCAATGCTTAATACCATGGGACAGGATTTTAAGAATGAGACCTCATTCCAGTCAACATTTGCCTCAGAAGGATTATATGATTTGTATTATAATAATAATAATAATAATAATAATATTATAAAGTCTGCATTGGTGTTGTAAGGAAAAAGGAAAGGACAGAAACGTACAAGAAGGAGGCACCTATATTATCCCCAGCTGGACCTGAACATTCCAAGACAAGAAGTAGAAATTACAAACTGAACAAATTTACTTCAGAGGCAATCCAGCAACAGGTAGCAAGGTGTGTTTGATGGAAGTTCTCTCCTTTTTTGTTTAAAAGGATTTAAAACATTTACAAGACACCTAACATTCTATTCAATTCCTATTAAAAACAACAGAGAGAGAAGAATAATGGATCTTTTGACTGCATCTTGCCCATGGTTCACTCATCTTCCATGTTGACCGATAGCATACAACTTGCATTGTCCCACCACATCACCTGTATAATCCAGCCATCAAAAAACAGAAAACAAAAAAAAAAAAGGGAACATTCACTTTTTTTGCCGCCTTTCTTTTTCTCAACTCTGTGTGAACTTAACCGCATGAGATTGTAAAAAGGCGACGCCTTTGAATGATGCTGTACAGATGTGTTCACTGCCACACACTACCAATGATATGGCAAAGTCAACACAAAGACTTCTTGGTTTTTTTTTTTCCAGGCCTGTTTTATTCCGGAGCCGGGGAGGGTGGGGGGGGGGGGGGATACGGCTGGCATGCACCTCCCAGTCTACAAGATGAACTTCCCTAGGAAGAATCCGATGAAGATGGCTGCTATCACGACGAGGAGGGAGGGCAGGGAGGCAGTGCTGGCTTCTCGGCCGAGGAGGCTAGTTGAGTTTGATGTCATGTGGTCTGAGCGAGGCATCTTTCTCATTCTAATGCCATCATCCTGTAACAGAGGGAGAGCAGGACACAGTCAACAGACCTGCACAATACAGGTTTACATGCATCAATTAAGATAAGCGGTCTCAAACTTAGTACCATTAGCATAACAGACGGCAAGTTACCAGCTAATGCCAACGCTAGCTTGGGTCACACGGTGCAGCCGTAATTTGCGTTAACTGTGATATTAATTGGCACGTTTCTTATGAACTTACTGGGGAAAAAATAAACAGCCGACTCCTTTAGAGTATCTCTTAATACAAACGAACGCTTTGGTAGTGACTCGTCAATCACGCCCTTAATCGTTTCAATCATTTGGGCATCTTAACATGGGGGTCCCTGGGGATCGACTCCCTTTTGGAGCCTCAAGTGGCCATTCGAGGAATTGCAGTTTTGGGCTTCATTTTTCAGCCCCAGAGATTACTGCTTGGGCTAAACTTATAGAGACCAGTAGGACAAAATGTGGTGTGATAAAAGGGCTATGAAACCAGAATGTTTCACCACGTTATGAATATCACGTATCCACAGATCTGACCTTTAATTGCCGGTTCTCATCACCCAGCTTGCTCATCTCAGATTGCAGCCTCTTGCACTTCTCCAGCACTTTCTTCATCTCTGGATCGTCTCCTGAGGCAGTTACAGGCACCGTGGCTGCTGATGAGTCGCCCTTCGCAGAGTTCATCAGAGGGGCTGCTTTGGTGGTCGCCTCGACGTCATTCTGCCCAACAAGTAGAGGAGAGAAAGAGCCAATGACGTGAAATCCGCCATGTCGTGAGTTAAGTAGGGAGATCACCCCCCGCCCCCCTAGACGGGAGCCTGTGCCAAAGAAAGGCCGCCTTCTCCGAGGCCCAGAAGCTCACAGTGGCTGATCAAAGAGACCAGAGAGGAAACGCGTCCCTCAAGAAGTCACGTTTGATGTGGCTTTGTTTTGTGGGACAGACAACATGGGGGAAATGAAGGGCTTTCTAATGGACATGCAACAACTGTAGTAACGGTAGATGAGGGTTGACAATCATCACACAGACAGGATATGATGATATGATGTTATCCATTGTACCACCATCCAAGGCAAGCTGATATTAAAGTCTATCAAGGCCCAGGTCTTGTTTTGTACAAAATAATAAACAATTCATTTAGGCACCTCAAAAGTACCGATGTGAGGGTCCCGGGCAACTATATGATCAAAACTAAGATAAAGACACACAAAAAAAAGCAATCCTGCACGCTGACAATCACTTGTGCTCACTTTATTTAAGCCTTTTTAGATCTCATACCTTCATTAGGTAAAAGAAGTGGTTGAGAGAGCGACGGATTGTTTTCGGTTCCTTCACAAGTGAGTTTTTGACACAAAGCATCCGTCTGTGAGACGGCAAGAACTGTGTAGTAATTGTTAACCAGCTTTCAGTACTTGACAGTATTTGGTACTCCACCAAACCAAAGTACGGGGTTTGACAGCTTATTACGCCTAAACACAAATCTTCCACATTATGACGTTACACCTCAAACTACAGTCATCCTGCACATTTACATTATTAACATTTTGCACATACATACTATACTGTACATGCTACACGTGCAAAAGCAGGAAGCAGAGCGCAGACACTGTGCTGACTCAGCAGTCCACATAGCCTCACTGTTGAGCCTCTTAGCGTAAGCTAAATCTGACACCGGTGGCATTTTCACCTGAACTGTGAGGACCCGCTGAGCTGTCCAGCAGCACTGCTTATCTAAATCCTGATTACACCGAGTTCATTAATACAGGCTCCCAGTGTTCAGAGTCACCAGTTTATTATGACGCTCTGTTGAAGTTGACACTGTTAGAGAAGCGTCGATTTCAACTCTGTGGTACATTTTGATGCCGAGTTAGTGGAGTTGCTGAATCTCATTTATGACTATAGGGATAAAACACACTATAAAGTGGGAATTTTGATTGCGCTGAAGGATGTCAATGTTGATTGTAAATTTCAACACCATTCATAAACCCTGAGCAGCTATGTGTGGTCCAACAATGAAACTTATTGGTGTACATTTCTCTGGAGGAGCCGTCTTCCCATCATCGTACCATGCTTTTGTTATATTTTGTCTTTTTGCGCCATCTCCTTATTGTCTGCCAATTTGCAGCGAGTCCAGGGTCGCAGATAGTTTTAATCGAGTAGTCGGAGAATAATAACGCGTGGTCCAAAGAGAGACATGTGGTCAGAGAGACCAGAGCCTTTAACCAAGAATGGACAAACTCGGAAATGTTCATTCTTCCCACGGACGGTTGAAAACCAGGATGTCTCAAATGTTCAGAGACCGTGACGATTATTAACAGCGGTGATGTGAAGCGCCACTACGACACAAAGCACAAATCTTTTGAGCAAACGTACCCACTCACATCTGAAATGAAGTCAGATATTAAACAACCTAAGAGCCCAACATGATCAGAATCCCAACACATGAATTCACTGACCAACAGTGATGTTAACAGAGAGGATAGAGCTGAAACAAGTAGTTTCATAACCACAGATAGTCCATGCTCACCAACTTATCTTATTAGAAGATTAGACGAATGTAATATCGTGGCTTTTTTGGGTGACATCACTTCACCCTGAATGAACTGAATTTAAAGCTGCAGGGCAATTCAGTTCATTTTCTAAAATTAATTAATTTTTTTAAAGAAACACACAAATTAAAAAAGCTTTCTGTTATGTAATTTAATCTTGAATGCAGCCCTTATTTTACTTGAAACAAGAGAGAAGAACATTAATTTATTTTTAGATTTATAATTCATCCAATTCAATTTGAAAACTGACAAATATTGTTGAGATATTATTCTGTTCAACTTTCTTTATTTGATTTGACAGTCAGCTGTTGACTTCAGTAATTATGCTTTGGTCTTGAGATGTAGTATTTATTTACCTAAAATAAACTGTGCACACAGACTGCACTGCTAGGTTCACAGCTAACTTCACACTGGTGTTGCACGGTATACTGATACTAGAAAGGTATCGCAATAATTATAACATATAATTTGACGTTATTGCTGTACATTTTTTCCAACTTTTTTTGCCTTTATGGAACGTTATGGTATTCTGGAAAGTTTTAAAGTTGAGCATTGGACAGAAATCCTTCAGAGACAGAAATCATACTTCAGTTGATTTAAATGAGGTGGAAATCAGCCGTTCTCAACGCGAGGCTGCATCTCTTACCACTTTGTCGTTTTCTGAAGGCAGCTCAAAGACGCATCTCAGCTTGGAATCCATGAGATCATCGGGTTTTGCATCTTTCCACTGGTGGAGATGAACAATGGGCATGTTATTCATCCACTAACAGCTGGATTATATCTCCCCCCACACACACACACACACACACACACACTTCAACCTACATCTATTCACTATTATATATATCATATACTATTCACATGCACTGCAGACATCTATGGACATAAAACATGCACAGCTTCATTTAAATAACAGTTATAACCCCCTCGACTCATTTTACCACAAACACTGTCACAAGTGTACATTCCTCCACTGGTTTAAGGTCTGTGTTTTTAGAGTGACAAATTTCCATCACGTCAGCTCCTGAACTCTATTTTATACTCTATGACAAAGGTGTTTGGATTAAAAGTGCTCATAAAGCAGAGAATTGCTTTAAGTTTAAGTTAAAGAAATAATCTCTGTCATAAGTGGAAGGTGTAACACAGTCCATGTGATAAAGCAGGAACCTTATTAGATCCCAGTTTACTTATCAGGACCAGGGAGACCTTTGTTCCTCTACACTTCCTGGATGTTGCTTCTCATTCATGACAAGTCAGTTCATGAACAGGACTTCAAGGTATGTGAATGTTTTACTGACTGTATGAGCCTTTGCTGTCCTCTGGTGGACAACTGAGAATGCTTCTCAATGCATCTGATGTTCTGCCATTATGGTCTTATACAAGAGCAGAGCGCTTTACATATGAACTCAGCAGAATGCCAATTACCCCGACATCATTGATGACCAATTTCAAAGAAAAAAAAAAAGATGTAGGAGTGTCATTTGACACTGAGGTGTTAGAATGTATGGAAAGCTCACTCTAATCTGTATTCATCTTAAACAAGAATTAAAAGAAAAGCACACAAATACAATTTAAACTCAGGTTAAAGAAAACTGCATTTTCAGGGTACACAGCGTAGTTTAAACATTTGTCCAGCGTATTTGTGTTCTACCACATTTTACTATTCACGTTCTACAACGTGAAGAATATTCTGAGCCGAGTAGGTAAGTAAATAAAAGTCACTCACCAATGAATCCATGTCAGAAACATGTGACGGGGCAAAAATCGTCTGCACCATGAATTTATGTTTACTTTTCTCGTTGGGGTCATAATCAAAGGGCTGTAGCATGACTGCAAATTAAAGATGAACAATGTTAAAACATTTGAGTAGAGACATCTCTCTACAGGAAACATATCATATAAATAATCAGCATAATAAATCCCACAAATCAATCGTCAGTGACAATATTGATACCCAAAAGGTGAAAAGGTAGCGCACACACACCGACTCTTTCCCTGCTTAAGACTGGGACGTTGCCCTCCTCCGCTCTGAGTTTCTGTGCGATTCTGAGGAAGCAGCTCTGAGCTACACTTTATCGGAGGTGCTGAAGTTACCATTAGCACGAACAATGAGCCACACGATGCTGGGATTTATGTAGAAGCAGAAGGTCTTCCGTTAGTTTCAGTTTTCCACCACTGATGAAGCCGACTAGAGGGCAGGTAGATTTCCTTCATGAAATATTATGACTTTATTCTAATTAAATCAAAAATGTTATTCTTGACTTCTCAGAGGACACAGATATTTGGGATATAGGGTTATGTTTCAGTTTCAATAGCCTGACACCATTAACCAATAACTAACTGGTGAGTTATTAAGAAAGACATGAGGAGGAATGAGTAAATCATGCATGTATGTGTGTTGACTCAACATTAAATGTTGATTTGAAAGAGCCTAAGAGCCTTATTGCATTATATGGAGAACATATGTTTGTGGGCCAACCCTGGAAGTTAGCATCGCACTGGTTCCCTCGACAAAATGCCAACAGGAGTGTGTTTTTTTTTTTCCGTTTTTTTTTTTTTAAATTGGATTTTGAATTATTGCAGAAAATAAGCTCTGTGTCAATCAAACAATTATGATACTTATACATTTGGTTCAACAAGATAATCTTCACAAATGAACACCACTTCTATGATTTTTGAAGCATAAATGCAATGGCCAGAGGTAAAAAGCTAACGTTAGGCTATAAACAGAGCACATCACGGTCGGGTTACTACATTTAGTAGTGTCCTTTAGCCACTTGGAAGAAACCCTTTTCCTTTCTTAAAGACATCAACGTATTTAATGTTGTAGAACAACAAGAAGATGATTTTAGTTTCAATGCTTCCTCTGAACTCAAAATATGGAAACATAGAATGTACATAACAGAACCTGTAACCTCAGTTAAAACAGTACGTCAGATGTATTTCGGACCTCAAGATGTGACCGTTTGAACCTGACAATTACCTGTCAAGTCCAGTAAACAAATGACTGGACTTCCATTTTCGTTAAATGCTCTGATGAAGGCCTCCACATAAGTTATGAAACTCCTGAAGCTCTGTGTGTGTGTGTGTGTGTGTGTGTGTGTGTGTGTGTGCGCGCTTCACCTTTGGGTGTTCAACATTGGAACTTTGTGTACTTGGGTTTAGCACGACAAACCAATACTGGTAATATTCATCCTCTCAAAAGACCTCAATGTTAATAATCTCATTTTCCTAAATGAAATAAATGTTCACTTCAGAAAGCCAAAAATATATTCTTTATGTAATGTGGAAATCTCAAGTTAGTACATTCCTCCCACACTTAAGGTCGAAGGCTGACATCTGATCACCCTCACGTTGTTGTGGTTTTATATTATTAGTTAATTCCATCATCTCCTAACCAATTTTAAGATGTTTATTTCTACCAATATAATCCAGTGTATAAACAGTAAGTCTCCAATGTCATTGTGCATTTAAATAGGTAGCCAGTGACCCTCCAATCAGAAGTGTCCTATTAGTTTTGTTTAAGCAAAAAGATATTTACAGAACATTTCCCTTCAAGTCTCTTACAAGACTTGAAGATATCTTCCTCTGCAGTATCTCCTTTTTGGAAATGAGCCTCATCTCTTTGCAAGATGCATTATGAAGCATCTAACTCCTTAGCCTTGTGTTACATGGATTAATATTTTTAAATGCTAAAATACTGGATGGCAGTACCCACTTGCAGTATGACTGACTGAGTGAATAAGTTGTTTGTAAATTACTAATTTTGGCCACTGAAGGTTCAAATGATGGTTACATCCCGACTTTACAGTCAGTTTCTGTCTAAATCCAGTTCTTACACTACATCACGTGTGATGTAGTGAAGCGCAGCCCGGGGGACTTGATAATTGGGTAAAAATGTGTAAGTATCAGAACCTTTTGTTTGCCACGAAGCTTTTTTCAGCAATAATCCAAAATGTAATGGACAAAGTCTCATTGGCTTGTTGTTGAGGGAACTAGTGCTATGCTAACAAAAACACATCATCCCTGTAGCACTCTATTAACAACATGTTGAGGGGCTAAAGGAATGTCTGGTCACTGAATTTAAAAAGGGAATAAAGACTAATAATAAAAACAAAAATAACTTACCAGAGATAATGACAGTTGCTCCGGGATCGATGACGCCGCTGTTTGGCCGTACACAGTATCTGCGCGGGGCAGTCGTCTTCACTTTGAAACAGACTTTTCTGTCAGAAGGGTTCCTCAGTTTCAGGTTGGTGGTGACTACATCTGTGAAAGGACCTGATGGACAAAGAAAGACAAACACATTATCATCTCTATATCATGGAGTACACTCTTCTCCTGTGTAAACTGTAAAAGGGAAAATAAAGAAAGACGAAAGTATCCTTGCAGCAAAACTTAAAGAAACTGCTGCTGCGTTAAATTGCAATGGAGACAGAAATCCCCAGGGCCTTTAGAATACCTCTAGAATGGTAAATATGTTGCGTGTTTATAGTGAAATGGCAGAAATAGAGTCAATTCAATATTTCAAGTTATATCTCACCGCTGAAAGGCCGATAATGCCGACAGTATTTTAGCATCAAAGACTTTTAGAAAATTACCGCCAGGGTACAAGTCAATTAGGCCTGTATGATTAAGAGGACTAATTGAATAGGGACTTCCTTGGCTTGAAGCTGGATTGCAGGAGCTTTACCGTACAGTATCCAACTTTGATAAGCCATATCACGTCAAAAACACAAATGGATGCCAAGTAAAACATTTAGAAACAACCTTACAATTAGCCTCAGAGGCCTTGAAAGGAATGTGTCCCATGATCAGTGTTTTTCCTGTACAGAAAACAACCAGGCGGTGGTAAACTTCTATCCCACCTCGAGATCTCTACAAAACTCTGATGAGTGTCTTCATGGAAAACACAAAATGTTGCGCATGGGGGATTTCTGTAAATGTGGGAAGGCAGTGGCATTACAGCAACGTGGTGGAGCTGTATCCTAATCAGCATAGTGAACTGGGTGCTGCCAAAACTGTCAGAGAGAAAGGAAAGAGCCAGCTGGTTTTGGCTGGAGCGCTGAAAAGTGGGAGCCAGCCCTGAAGTTTGTCACCAACTGACTGAGCGAGTGATCCCGAGCCGTCTCTAATCACACTTTTGGGGCGTCAAAGCTTGAGTGAGGAATATTTGACGATATTTGAGAGAGAGAGAAAAGAGAGAGCGTCAGAGGAGACCTTTCTCTTTAAGAGAGTCAGTTGCCTCTCAGTCTTCACTCTGTCAGTCAGTAAGAGAAACAGATCTCAGTCAGATATACAGCTGATAGAAAAAGGTTGTTTTTTTTCCTCTGGTGGCTGGTTGTGTCAGAGTAAAACCTCTGCTGCCATTGTGTCTTTATACGCAAACCTTCCCATTGCTCAACCGGTAGCACAGAACCCTCGGTCCCGTTCAGTCAGGAGTACCACAGACAGTCTAGCAGGATTTCTTTCTCCCTATGAATTTTATTTTATTTGTCCTCCCCTCCTGGGCCATCGGGCTTGAGCCCCGGTAAGACGACGACAACACGAGCTGCCAAACTTTCCTCAAATTGTACTTTACAAAGAGAGATGACGACAAAAATCGGGACATCACCGATTTCCTTTTAAATGAAACGAAGACAACTACAAAATGTGCCATAATCTCACACTATAAATTACAGCGATGGCCCTTAGAAACAAATATCCTCATATGAAAAGGTCTTTAAGCAAATTAATAAATAGACTGTAGCCTATGAGGAGTCTTAAAACAAAGGATCTGGCTTTGTTGATACTGTCCATTTCAGTACCCAGATTAAAATTGTTTCACAGGATATAGTTTATCAGTATTTGTGGTCATATTCTCAGTCTCAAACCTTCAGGATTAACCGATTCAAAATGTTATTGTGACTTTGGACTCCTTTGCATGGTTTACATACATAAAAACAAGACATAAAAGCATTTCAATATTCTTTCTAGTCTCCCACCATTCGTTTGTTTTACAGCTAGGTTGCTCAAGAGTTCACAAAGCCCACATTCAGCCTTAGTTCACACCCAGTGTTCAGAGAGATAAGAAGCAATACGTGACCAGATTGGAGTGGATCTACCCAGCTAAAGCTAACGTGTCGAGTTATAGGAATGACTGGGGCGTTGTTTTCAACACAGGTGCGTCACAAAGGCATTCCTACAAACCTGAAGAACCTCATTTGCCACATTTCTGTCCACATTCCCCGCTTCCAACATCTTAGTTTTTCCTGCATATCGTTTTTGAAGCTAGAGGAAGAACATACGAGATGCTTCCTGCTGTGGACATACCAGCTTATTGTAACAATGATAGTATGAGCACATTTACATTTTTGAAGGAAGTAAATGTAACTTGGGACAGCTCAAACGTACCTGGGAGGCATGATAATTACAGCTTATAAACCTTTCCTCTTCCCTTTGCACATGCCTGAAGCCATTCTACTATCCTGTACTTGCTGGTGGGCCAAGAGAAGCATCAGTTTATTTATCAAACAGTTTTCTGTCACACAGACACAATAAAAACATGCAGACCTAAGACAACAGTGTAATTTCTGCAGGAAAGAATTCAAGGTTGACTGAGATAAATCTCTACACTAGGTGGTACTGTGAGCTGGTGCTGGGCTGTATACCGATCCATGCTGTTTTAATTTCCCTTATGATATACATTTATCATATTCCGGGAATATCCAGGAAGAGCGCTACCGGCCGGAGAGAGCAGAGAGTGCGTTAACTGCGTACCCTTCTCACTCATGGTAAAAACTTACACAACAATTAATAACCCACAACTAACTCTCTTTAACAGGGTAAAGCACCATGGCACGCAACAATTTGTGACACGTAAACAATTTGTAAAACTAATAATTGTACATTCACAAATTCACACCACCAAACGGCATCCTGGGTAACATTACAGCTGCTATCTGGCAGCATAAGAATCTGTTACCAGCTAAGGAAGTCCGTCGCTACTACGCATTCAAGAACAGAAAAGAGAGATGAAGGATGAAGAGAGAGAGAGACCAGAGATGCACTGGAAGAACCGTGTCTGTCAAAATAAGTCACTGTTGTTGTCAGTGGTGCTAAAAGTAACAACCTCTGTCACAAAACGTGATGGATTATCAAGAGTGTGATTATGATGGTTGGATTCGCCCCAGTGAAACAGCGAAGACAAAAGGTCAGACATCGCTCGTTAGAGGCATTTCCCCGTGGCACTGCATATGACAGGAAAGCAAGCAGTGGAGCGAGCGACAGTACGAACGCATAACAGTCCACCTATGCAAGGTCATGGTCCCACTACAGACTATTAAATAAGACTTCTAAAAAACTTCTATCCTAACATTATACCAACAACGCCGACACTGTCGCCCTCTTTTCTAGAACAACAGACCTCTGGTCAGTTTATAGTCTTCAAACAACCATCTTAAAATATTTTATTTTGAAAAGACCGAAATATTTGTATATTCCTGACTGTAGAATAAGCCACCATAAACCTACATAAAGGCCCAGTCATGCAAAAACAATAATAAAATACTGTGATATACCGTGAAAAATCTTAAAGAATCTTAAAAAAGACCGCGATACAGATTTTTGATCAGCATTAGGTGTAGGCATTACTACATCAGTACTGATACAGAAAAGCAGTTATGCACATCAGATATACACCCACATAGCCTGCCTCCATTGCCTAACACTGCGATGCCACCTTTGCTCGAGCAGCGTTAGCACCATTTCTCTCATCTTGTTGCATGTATGCTGAGTTAGGGTCCCCCAGGCCAGGCCTATTCTAAAAATACCAGCCAAGGAAAGGAGGGCTGCCCCCTCTAGCCTGCTGGAGGAATCCCAGCAGAGGCTCTAAAACAGGCCAGCTCTCAGATACACGCAGACAAATTTAGCACGGCCTCTGTGACAGTCAAGAAGCTGTGGTCATCTTCCTTCTCCTCGTATTGTTTTTCAAAAGGCAGAATAGGAACCATTTCATTTTCCTCTGTGATCCTCCTGAAGTACAGAAAACCTCCCAAACTGAGTGATCCTCCTGAAGTACAGAAAACCTCCCAAACTGAGTGATCCTCTCTCTTTGACCAATCTATCATTTAAGTTAAAACCATGGGAAGATTAGTCTGGGTCAAGGTGCATAAACTATTTGTATAACACATTGTATTCAGACTCAGGCCTGCATAAATGAGAGGTTAAGAGGACTATTCAAATTGTACTCTGGTGTAACTTTAAGTCAGCTTGCTAGTTATGCTCATACTAAGCAGAAATAGAACTTGTCAACAAATCATCAATTAATGATGATCAGCTTCGTCTTAACTTTGTAATTTTGCCTTGCATCCATTCCAGAACACAGAGGTTAAAAGTTGAACCTGTCCTGATAACAGAAAATGGAAACTGTGTGACTAATCAGAAAAACGGGAACACAGTCTACCTAAAATCGGATAAAAGTAGGAGGTACACTCTATGATCTGATTTTGACAGACCATGTCTCTGCCATCAGACTAAAGGAAACATCAATGTAAGGTTCAGCTGAGAACATACATTAATTCATGTTTACATCTTGACCACTCTATTTCAAACTTGTATCTATTCAAACTGAGCCGACTAGTGCAGCCAGACACCTACTCTTAAACATTTCACTACTTCACTGAAGAAGTTGTCTGTTAAAGCACCAACAACCTGTTGCACAACATTAATGAAAGTTTGATCAGGTTTAAAGTCAATACTACCGTTTGTATTTGAACTAGCTAGTTTTAAAACTTAACTCAACATGAGTTTTGTTTATCTTAAGCTGTATATCTTTGTAATTTCTTTGACTGGCAGGCTCTATTCACCACCACAAGTCCTACACCTGATAAAGCAGTCACGGATCTACCAGTGACAAAAAAACAACCACTTCCTGATTTAATAAAGTACAGCAACTGATTACAAGTTTTGTGGTCAAGGTGAGGCTTTCTTGCATTCTCTGGTATCATCAGGTGTAGGATCTGCATTGTGTAAAAATGTGTGACAAATCAGTTACACATAGGACACCTCATCACCTAAAACATCTGTGACTGTCCCCCCATTCAATCGCTGTCCTGTGGGTCTGGTATTTGAACTGGTGACCTCTCCAACAAGCCTGTCATGTCCAGGCTACAGTCAGTATCCACTCCTACCGAGTCCTTAATGACAATCAGCATCGTAGGATAACCGAGACAAAGGGCTGGTTCTAAAAAAAGTGGTACATTCAGCAACAATAAAACCACACTGACAATAATACCTGCAACAAGGAAAGAAAACACAAGGAAATAATTCTGGAATAAATGAATAATGGGGAAGTGATGATGGTCTGGGATTGTTTTGGAAAAACCTATCACCTTGGCAGAGTAGTTAAACCTGAAACTTGTAACTAATGTAACTTGTAACAATATAGTTTTACTGTTGGCTGTTATTTCAATCACTTGTAATTGTCACTTCACAACAAGAGCAACAGTTGAAATCATACAAATGTCAAACTTAAAATACACCGTTGATAGGTCTAAAAACGGCAAAACAAGGCAGTTTGTTCTTAGTAGCTAAGAATGTAAGCTAGCTAGCTTAACGTTAGATATCAACTTTGGCATTAGCCTGGCTTCCATTAGCCAACGGTTAACTGATACATCATTGAACGTTATATCATCAAGCAATCAGTGGTACTCTGATGTGTGGATTACTTTGGTTTCCTATGAATGAGTTGGGATAACACTAGTGTCCGTTGACACATCTTCTGAGCATATATAACGTCATTTAACGGTTGGAAGTTAGGAAAATTGAACTAACGTGAGCTAACGTCTGTTGTCAACCGTAGTAAGCAAAGTTTGTCATTCAAACTGTCAGTTACTTTTACCAGTTTAACACAGCAAAGTGTCTGCGCGAGGCGTGTCAGTTTGGACACTTAACGTTATATGTGTCGCTTGAAAAAAAAAAAAAAAACTTAATTCCCTTCTCCCATTACCTCCGGGCTATGAGTTGTAAGTGAATAGGCTGAGTCCAAAGGAAACAACAGTTTGCTGTGGCTAACCCCACTAGCAACAGCATAACGTTAGTAGCTCATGTTAGCTGCTAAACACAAACATAGTGCGCTGTGTGTGTTCACTTCCATTCCGTTTAACAACCACTGGTAGTTGCCCCACGTTCTTCCACTTCTTCGCAAGGTGTTGTCAGTTAGCGTTCGCTGGTCATAAATATGGCAAACGGTCAAAAAGACACGCCACGCCGGCTATCCACGTCACTACAGCACGAGGAGGATACAGCGGCCCGTTCTTGTCCCTAGCTAACTTAAAATGGCGGTGAATGCTAGCTAGCTTCGCTAGCAACGAAATTCGCTTGAGGGAGTGTGAAATCGCTCTAGTTCAGGTATTTCTCCAACACTACTCGCTGGACATTTGACACGTCAGGAAAATGTCGATTTACCTACCTTTAAATTTGAGGTCGCAGGGAGGGTCAAGGACAAGTATCTGATCCAACTTTGACATGTTTAGCTTGTGGGGATGCACTTGATTTCAGTATCAGGGAATAACTGACAAGTGGAAATTCTAGCTCCCCTGCTGCCACTACTGAGTCAAATGCTGACTGAGCTCTGCGAACGAGCATGTGGGTACAAAAACTTCGAGAACGCGCGAGTGCACAACCCTGTTGCGCGCCCTCGTGGCTCAGCTACTGAATGTGATGTGATTATGGTACATTTATCTAGTTACACTGCGGGTACACTCAGACACTTAGAAGAAGAAAAATACTGTAATTAAAGGAGGACGAGTCCTTACTTCACCTGTGGACATTGTATTGCAAGTTAGTTAGTCCATGTTTGTGGTTTAAATAATAATGTGCTGGTATTTTGGTATATTTATTCTATCCTATAGTTAAATCCATCTCCAGGACAATACGTGTAGACCACCCCTGTGTAAACTGAGAGTAATCCTCTGCAGTGTACTGAATAGGACTCTATGGGAGTGTTCTTCTCTGCCTGTAATTTGTGCGGTTCACAGCTTTTTAGAAGGTTACCTGAAACATATATGTGCAAAAATAACACAAGGCTAATTTGTTGAGTCTTTCCTATTTTGGGGCCAATAGGTCATGGTAGAGTAATAACTCTTATGTAAGACACTCCAACTTTGGATAACCACATAATTGTCCTTGTCATTTGCAGTGACAAGGAGTAAAAGCTTCATCTAAACTGTGAAACCGAATAGTGTCATTTTCACACTTTTAGCTTCCTGAGGTGTCAAATTGGCTCAGCTGGGATGCATACCATGTTCCCCTCTTCTCTCGTTCATCATTCCGGTCTCCACTAACAAAACATAAAATCAGCGAGGCTATACAATAATCCTCTAAGAGTGTCCTGGTGTCTTTGACATTTCAAAACACATACTTCATCCTTACAATGGGTGAAAGTAGCAAAAACAAAACCGAAACATAGAATAGTCACTACTTTATTACACTGATTAAAATACAAAAGTTAATCTGCTCTACAGAGGATACAGGGGAGCATGGTTTAGGCACACAGTAAAAGAATGGCTGCAGATCATTGTTGACTGTTTTGCATACAATTAGTCTGTCCTGATTTAGTCAAGTAATTCATGCATTACTCTAGCAGTCTGCACTTTTAAGCCGTGTCACACATTTGTTTAGGAAAACACAAAAAAAGGCATTTGTGTGGCAACAAATATATCACTTTAAAAAATCTCATCACAATGTCAACATGTAACCTCTAATAAAATGTATTTGCTCAATGTAATTATCTCTTGTATGGAGGTCCTATCATGAAGTGGTGTGATTTAATGAAACTGTTGTCAATCTGTTGGTAAATGTGACATACTGTACATCTGGACCACAAAGCCGTCGGTTTCATCTTTCCATTTTCACTGCATTAGATGTTAGTGGAAGCAAGGGCACATTAATTGGCTGGTTTCTGAAAGGAGTTTGGTGAGAACAGCACATATCAGCACAGTTATACTATAAGTGCATTAAAAACTACGAGTTGAACTCCATTATCCCGTCATACATGTTGGTAACGTGTTTTTTTAAGCTATAGTAAAAAACATAAATACTGTTAAATAGGAAACCATGTTGCATCTAGGTCAACTTTCATGTCCATTTAAAAAATGCTGTTAAAGAATACTGTTACTGTTTCAACACTTCCAAATGAATACTGTTAAATGTCTGCAAAGGTGCTGTTATAAATGTCTCAAGTGGTCACACCTAAGGGCACTGCTGCCAAAGAAACAGCAGCAAACAATATACACCATCTTAGAATACACAACTGGGCTAAGTAACCCTTTTTCTACTTCTTTGCCAGCTAGAATTTATTGGTTTAGGTTTTTAATTCCATACTTTTTTTTAAGAGCTTGGTTAGTATATAAATAACCCTTTTGGAACTTTAACAGCTTTCGACATGTTTTGAGTAAAACACATGCAGGTCTTTTCTCCTCTTAACAGTATAAATGTAACCCCTCTTCAGATAAATAAATACATGCTGCACAAGGTCATCCCCTGTAGTGAAATCAATACATTTCAGCAAAAGAACCTTAACAAATCACCATGTAAACAATTCTAGTATTGGTCAGTGCTTCAACAGGGGGTGATTTACTGTAAGCACGACCACGTGGAATGTAAAGCCGCTGCATTTGAGCCACAGAACTGAATGTTTGTCCAACGTTTGATCTCGACAAACACAAGTTAGAAAATTCTAATTCAGTACATACATTTAAACAAAAGCTCCATGATAAAAAAAAGTATAGCCGTGATAAAAAAAATTCAAACTGTATAAAAACCTTCATTTAATGAAGGCCATTTAAGAGCCACAGTGCAGGGGAAACCGAGCCAAACTGCACTAAAAAGCACATCAGCTAGATCACTTGTTATGTATGTGGGTTTATTATTGAGCTGTGAACTATACCGCACAGACAGAAACCTTTATGTAATTCAGGTAAAACACCACCTGAGGGGGACAAACTGAAAGCCTTCTGATTCCAGACCTCATCAGAGTTGAAACGGCTTCAATCAAATGAAATATAAGTGCAATGACCGATACATAGTACTGTTGTTTCATCTTGCTGCTGACCTCTATCTGTCCACTGTCTTGTCTTTTCCAGCAGTAAGACACTGTGTGCATTGTGGACTATGTGCTGTGCTGCTGGGGTCTCTGGTGCTGAGGGGAGCGATCTCATCAGCCACTGTTGGCACTAGCAGCATCTTCTGTAGGACGGAGCCGGCTGCCGGGTGAGTTTGAAGGAGTCGTTGCTCTCCACCTCGGGATTTTCCAGGGGCGGGATCTGTTTACCTAAACACACAGCTCAGGGTCAATCACAGAGTTACCATGGCAGATTTAACTGTTTTAAATCATATAAAGTGTTGTATTGTTACTACTGCAATGTGTTTGACATGTTAAATGAACCACTACTAGAAGCCTCAAAACAAAACATGACATATTTAAAACATTTTCTTAACACAGCACATACTGTAAAATCAAAACATCAAACAGATATATTTAAAAAAAATAATAATTGTTAGAAATCTGCAATTTTACTTGTCATAAACAAATGTAATGGTGTTTTTCTGCCCCAAATTATGGGAAAATATATTTAGGCCTACAACTTACAAATTGAAGAAATTAAAACGCATTGACAAAAAGAATATTTAGTTTATATTTGAAAGAATGAATGTGTTTTTTTGTGTCATACCATTAAAATGATCCATCCCAGGTGTGATTATATGACACACAATTAAACAACATATAAATAACAGCTCCCGGCATTATTGAAAGGCTTGTCTTAATTAATACAGTACTTATATACAGACTCACATGACATAGACACAACATACAGTAGAGAAAACATACAGTAGATACAACATACAGTAGAGAAAACATACAGTAGACACAACATACAGTAGAGACAACATACAGTAGAAACAACATACAGTAGAGACAACATACAGTAGAGACAACATACAGTAGAAACAACATACAGTAGAGACATGGTACCTACTGATTTTCTGAAAGAGCTCCTCAACATTGACAGCATTTCTTGCACTAGTCTCGATGAAAATAGCTGCAATTGAGTCAGCAAACTCCTTTGCTTCCTTCATGGGAACTTCCCTGTAAGAGAGAAGGAAACTAAAGTGAGCATGGAGCAGGTTCACACTTAAGAAGTGTCCCATGGAAAATGAACAACTTTCATCAATGACTTTCATCCATTACATCTTTAACTAGTTTGTACTGAAATGTGCTGGAGGAGACGACACATTTGAAACCATAGTGCATCATTAAGGTTCTTCAAACAAACTTTACAGTTTCCCCTCAGCGTGGGGTCCCCTTCCACAGAGACCTTCACTCACAGACAGAGAATTTGCGGTGGCCAGAAGGGACAATATTTAGAAATGTCGGCAACCTTCACCAATGTGTTGGAGGTGTTTCTTTAGCTGCTCAAACCAGCCGCTCAAGCCGCGGCTGGTTTCTACAAGCTGCCCTGTTCCAGTCTTCTTACAGTCGCACAACGATCGCAATGACAACTATTGAGACATGGTTTTCTTAGCACAGTGGACTTGACATGAGCTACATGACAGGTATCACAAGAAGATTACTTTATTAGTTGTGCTTGTTCACTAAACCTGTAAGAGTTTGCTGTGCAGAAAGTCCCTAAAGGATGCAGTGAAACAACAGTCATAACTGAGACTCCCGTGAATCTATGGAAGCAAATAATAAAAGTGGTAAAGAGGTAAGAAGCTTGAGTTTTATAAAAAAAAGAGATGCGTTGATGTTGATGCACGACAGACTAATAACTATTAAAAATGTGCGTTCTTGTGTCTAGTAGTGAGTGTCTCTTAAACTTTATTATCACCATAATATCCATGAGAATGAGTTTCTTTCCAGCTATGACAGTCTAAGAAAAGAACCCTTTGCTCACCTGATGTCTCCTAAGTCATTCTTGTTCCCTGCTATGGCTACAACAATGTCCTCCGGACCATGTTCTTTCAGCTCCTTCACCCACTTCTTCAGTGTCTGGAAAGAGTCCTGAACAAGAAGAGCACATCACGGTCAACTGTGAGATAGGTTCTTCATGAGAACGTGCCTGTTTTCTACAACTTGTGCCACATATTCACTGTATTAGAAGGTGTTGTTCAGACAAGTTTCCATGAACAGACCAGGAAAGAATGACATTTGTAGGTCATGGAATGCGGCCCCCAGAGTGATGGAAAAGTAATCCAATTTTACATCAGGCTCATAGTTCAAAGCACTTCTTCTGTTACACACATTTCATACACCAGGGAGCAGCTCCAATGGTGCTTTTAATGGTGAAGGACATTGCTTTTAGGAGGGCAAAACGTATTGTTAGTTATTCCATTTTGTCACGGGGATCTTGTCCACTGTTCTTGCGATGTCACCACTCAACCCAAGTTTAATTTACCGTCACTCCTTTGATGAAAAGATGATAAATGTCTTGTTATTCTTACCAGTTTAGTAATGTCATAGACGATGACAGCAGCAGCCGATCCTCTGTAGTACATAGGAGCTAATGAGTGAAACTAAAAAAGACAACATATTACCGGTGAGCATGATCAATCAATAGTTACATAAAAATGTTATCTGTATATTTGCTTTAAAAAGATTTAAACTAGGGATGTCTCGATCGGGGCCAATCCTCTGCTTTACGTCAGCTGTCACACTAGTATATTATTATTTAACTGATGTATGTGCAGTCATTTCATTTCGGCTCAGTGTGAGAGTCTCTTGCTTATGGCTGCCATCTATAATGCATGATGTGTCACTGGGGACGGCACAGACATTCAGCGGTGCAGAGGAGACAATGACCACACTCAACACGCCACTGCATGTGCAACAAAAAAGCACCGCGAGCAACGAGCCAATAACAGTAGATTTATCAATCAAAGGATGCACAGATGATGAAGATAAACACTCAACGGAATATAGTTTTAATTCAGGAAAAGACTGCAGCAAAGCAAACACTGGAGGACACAGAAGATTAGAGAGTGTTTGTTATTTTGCAAAAAAAAAACCTAAAACATTTAAGAACAGTTTGGATGCAGACATTTTTTTCCACTGCAATACAGAGCGAATTAATTGTCAAGCAGTGTATTGATTTTAATAACTGTAATGTACTTGTAATGTGCACTGTGCAGCTGTATTATTGAGGAAAAGTGTTGGATCGGGACTCAACATCAGCAGATACTCAAAACTAAATTGCTGGGATCAGGATCGGAGGCAACAAAAACTTGTTCGGGACATCCCTAATTTAAACTGAACACAAGCTTAAATCCATAACATTGAAAATATTGTATTAACCCGTAAACGACTAACATGATGTGATGTTGGCAGAGGGAAAAAAGTTATTTCCTTCCAAGTTTCAACTCGTCTTAACTCACTATGAAGGTTACTCCAGTGTTAAGAAGAATGTTCTGAGAGAGAACTGTTTTCCACAGAAGTCCAATATGTGTATTGTTAAAACCTGAACAAACACGTTGAATGCATTTCCTTCCCCAAGAAACATCAAATTCTTTATTTTAATGTTTCAAAACCTACATTGTTTTCATCCCCACCACCAACCACATTACCACAGACAGTAGTCAGCACTAATGTGTACCATATCACCCCTGTGCTCATGATAGTATGTGCAATAAAAACCATGACGGTGCCCACTCATCAAAAAACATGGCTCTTAAGCACCACTAGTGGTCAGGTTGTCTTTGTATTGCATGCAGCCAGGGGTCATGATAACAACAGTTATTTTAGTGCAGTGACGTGATTTTCTCAACAATTCACATTAACCCCACAGATGAAGAGAACTTTAAATCCTGCTAAAGAGGTTTCAAGATATGATTTTCATACAAACGAGAGAGAAACACTTGCACTAGTTTTGTCCATGCTGTAAGCATGTCTGGTTAGCTTTAACTACCCATACCACCCCCCCCTCCATATAATATATCACCGTGATGACACCACTCTTGTGATCCTTATACGAATCATCCCAATTTGCACCTAATAATAACTGTATGTCATGAGGACCACTGACAGTGACATGATTGTGTCACTGCTAGTGTCTAGTGTCATGTGTCTAATAATAAGAAAATTAGGAATTCATGCTGTGGGTGCACTCACCCTTTCCTGCCCGGCTGTATCCCAGATCAGAAATTTGTGCAGTTCATTTCCAGATGGCACTGTTTTGGTCAGAAATGATGCTCTGTGGGTGATAAAGAGCATTTCACAACAATGATTCTTCGCATGTTCTTTAAATAGGCACAGGAAGCAAATCAGTGCACGTCAGCAGGAAACAAATAACACAGAATAAAGATGGCCGACACTGAACCCATTTAGCATGAAAGCACTAATAAAGTGAGGTCAGAGGCGCACAAAACAACAATCAAACATGTGTATTTGTAATTTGTACCAAGTCTTCTTATAGTGAGCTGAACCACCTTTCAAAAAATATGCATAAACCATTCGTTTTTCTGCTGTGCTCTTACCCTATTGTGGGACTTATATGGTGGTCAAAATGGTCCTGAACAAATCGGCAAACAATGCTGGATTTTCCAACTCCAGTGTCCTGAAAACAAGGTCACACATCAGACACAGCGCTGCTCACACACACATGTACACGGAGTCACCGGTCACTACTGGATCATATTGATTAGGCAACTGTCTGGTCACATGCCCATCAGATAGCTTCCTGTTAGTCCACAAATTCTACAACTAGCTCTGTTTTTATAGAAAATATTACTTTTTTTGTGCAAAACAACAAATCTCCATGTTTACCTAACAATAAAGTAAACTATTATGGAAACTTTTGGCTGCATGTAATTTGTTGTTCATGCTTTTTAGTTACTCCAGACACATAGACAGCTCTTATTCTTCTTTACATGGTTAAAGTGTGAACCTCTGCTATACATAAGCAAAGGAGGGGAACCAAAGATAGGAAAGAAATGTCTGTGGTTAACTTTTAGGTTGGCTATTAAATGCCTGCTGAGCGTGTCACTTCCTGTGGCGGACTGTTGAACGTTTCTGTGTAGTCTCCAGTTCCTCAGCACTTCGTTGATAAACTACCACTTTGCAGTCCCAACGCCTCTGAACGTCCCTGCCACCGTCTCTAAAGAGGGAGTGCTCTGTTTTGCTAACATCAGCAAGAAAACCTAGCTAACGGATTGCTCCTCGCGCTTGGAATGACTATGACGTAATGCGTGATAAACTGAGCCGTTATAATAAAATAAAAGACAAACGCAGAAAACTTCCACAAGTCGATTTATGAAATCAAACAGACGTAACGGTACACGATGAGACAGGAAGTGGATAAATGATTGCTTCACCCGATGATGGATCAGCTATTGGTTTATAGTTAAATAATTTTAACTATCAACATGTTGAAGTTTTCTGACGAGCAACAAGACGGTTAGTTTAAAAAACGGTGACCGACCGTTACAGTATCCGTGTCAGTTGGAGAAGCTAACGTTTGTTATTGTGTTGTTAACGTCAGTTACGTTCTACTCGCAGCAGACAAGGAATTTCCCCTCAAAGTTGATCAACAAAAACATGTCACTTACCCCTAAGAGGCACACTTTGAGCTCCCTTATGGCCATGGTCAATTTCGAGAAGTTTTTAAATCATTATTTTAAAGTGTTCACTCGGTGTCTTTGTCTCGTCATGCTTAAATTAATTTCTTTTCCCCTCTTCTTGGGTAAAAGAGAAACCCAGCCCCTGAGACAGACAGACTGACCGTCTACCGAACTAGCGTCAAGCTTTATAAGTGTCTTATAGAACTTCCGACGGGTGACTTTCAAAATAAGACATTAGTAGATCGATATACTCCATATTGTGGTTTAAGCTCCAGACCATAGACTGTGCAAGACATGAAAAAACAAAATTCTTCTTTCATTAATAATGTGTGTGATTTGGCTTTTCCACACAAACTAATATCACCCAATTAAAAAAAATCTTAAAATGACACTTTCTCCCTTATTGGGGACTTAAGTTGTTTAATAGTGTATGTGCACTGGATACTTTAAAATCACACAATGTTACTCTGCATATACATAACTCTGTAGAGAGAATGTCAAAGTCAAACATCCAAATGAAGTAACAGTATAAACAAAATACATGTTTTGAGTAGAGGGTGACTTTAAATCAGTAGTACTACTGTCAATATTAATGAACAGAGACACTATCTGACTGTGTTTCAGTAAGGAAGCTTTGAAACTAGATTTGAATTGACTTATTCATTGTTTTCCAGTAGTTTAATAATGGAGAAATGAAATACAAAAAACTCAAAACTAAGTTCATCCCAAAACAGTCAGAAAATTCAAGTTTCACTTTTATTTTGAAACAATTTCTGCTCGTTTCCGGTCTTTTCCTGGCTGTTTTTATCTACTTGACGATGCTACTTTCCAGGTCGGAAACCAGTTAAAGCAATGCGATGGTCGAAGAGCAAAACCTCCTATCTGAAAAATGCCTGGATCATTTTGCAGATAGGATATTTTGCACTTGGTGCAAGTTGGAAGAGGTTCTACAAAATGATGCTCTAAATTAAGTTTCAACAAAAGGGCGGGATTATTTTAAGACAGACTGAATATGAACAGCCTTCCTTGTTCTCATCATCCAAAGTGAAATCCGGCAATCAGAAAATTCTGCAGATAGGTGGTTTTGCGCTTTGGCCCTCGAATTTTATGACAAAACAGTCGGGTGGGTGAACTCTCTTTTATATCTCTTTTATATATTGAGTCTAAGTAAAAACTCAACAATGAAATGCTTCACTTCCTCAAACTGGATGCAAATGATTTATCTACAAACTCATTATGTGGGGAGAGGGGAAAGTATTCAGAGAAATTGTAACAGAAAATAGGAAGCACTAAATCTGGACTACACTTCCAGTAGACATAGTTGAGTAAAAAAGGCAGCCTGTGTGTCAGAGAAAGAGACAAAGATGCAGATAAATTATTCGGATCGACACTTTATTCTTCACAGCATTATTCTGACTGCAACAATAAGCTACAAAAGCTTGGAACAATATGAAAATAACCTTATGAGAAGCTTCTGAGCCCAATCTAGCGTTTATCTGTTTCAGTCACAGGATTATGAACACGTTGAATCATGAGTCCAGGTGAGATTGCTTTGATTATCCCGCGACCAAAGCAGGGGCAGTCCCACTAGCGTACTACATACAGGGCATTAATAATAATAATAATAATAATAATAATAAAAAAGGAACATATGACAAAACATAAAAGCTGAGAATACAGTATATTTGCAATTTTACAATGATATACACAATCGGTAAGTAAGTGCAGACCATGCCTTTGCTTTAAATATCACTGAATGATGACAGTACTTTGTCATGGATCAGCTGTGAAATGGAATGATTGACTTTTAATCTTGAGGGTTTTTTATATTTTTGACTCACTTCCAACTGATGCCATGAACAATAACTGCACATATCAAGAACCTAACCCTTAAAAAAGAAAAAAAACACGATCAAATACACAACAAAACTAAATAGGCCTCCTGCGTGTCTCCGCACACATATTTTGGCGACAGTAATCATCACTACAAGATGTGAATCCATCATAAAAACTGGAGAAATATCATTTTCCACATTTTCCTTGTTTGTGCAAGAGAGGCAGAGGCAGAGAGAGAGAGAAGACGATTGCACTACAGAGCAAAGAGTGACGGTAACAGCCTCCAGCTGTGTGTCTACATGTGATGAATATACCTTTGATGCATGGTGGTTTTGCTGTTCACGTTTTCATCTACTGGTCAGTTAGCGCGGTACAACGCCACTGTGTTTATGTGCATCTGCTGTTCAAAGAAAAAGAAAGAGCACCTACAATATATTTATACATATATATTTATATATTACTAAAAAAGCTGTAACTTAAAAATCAACATATTTCTTGAATAGTCATCCGTATTCTTGAGAATACCACTTAAATATATAATATATAGATAGACCAATCGTAAGCTTTTGTATTAGTGGTTTTCTGGGGAAACATCTCCGGTTATGGCAGAGTGGTCTCTATCCTAACGCGCCAATTAGCATCTGGGTGAGAAACAGGGACTGAGATTATTTATGGTCTATGTTCATCTGTTTTAAACCTTACCAGCAAAAAATAAAACTTTGTCATATACTAGGAAGGTGCCTGACTTTTACTCTATTCCTTCCCCTTACTTGCTTCATGAATCCCTTCATTTCTCCTTCCTTCATACAGGCTTGGCACTGTGGATTTGATAATACGACTCCCCTCGTCTCTCACAGTGGCAGCCAGTTGTCCGCTACAGCAGCTACTCTATTTCTGTTGTTGTGTGGAAGAATGGCCGCCAGCTGTCACCTGGTGCACACGATGACTAAATGAACCCATGGATCCAGCAAAGTGAAGTTTCCAGTGGATCACGAGAGACACTGAAGGACAACTGACCGGCGGTGGAGACGTACAGCGGGCACAGAGCCAACCGAACATCTCACATGTTGGTGTCCCTCCTGTCTTTGTTCGGTGAGGGCTTTGAAGGATCCTTAGCGGCCTTGCCATTGGACGAAGCAGCGGAATCGCCGTCAACGGAGCGTTTGGTTTGCTCCTCGGTGCGGGGCTCCGGGCTCGGCTGCACAGGCGGGGCCTGCTCGGCCGGCAGCGGTGGCGGCGGCGGCGGCGGCGGGACGGTCAGCTCCTGCTGCAGTTTGTGGCTCTGCAAGAGGCGGAGCTGGACACGGAGCTCCAAGATGGCTTCCTGCTCCTCGTGAATGGCCTGATTCAGATGGGTGTTTTTGTTCTACGTGGCAATAAAAACACACAGACGTTGTTTGAGAAACAGACTAAAAAAAAAAATAATAAATACCGGACTATAACAGCCAGTATGTGTTGAATATTTTGCTCACCTCCAGTTCCTCGTTTTGCTTCTGCAGATCTTCCAGAATCATCTGCAGCTCTTCCTCATCTTCACTCTCACTTTCACTGTCTGATGAATATTCCTCCGTCTCACTGCGACCCTGCTGACGACTGAGGAGCACAACGTTGAGATACAGTCGAGACCTTTAGCGCATGTACCGACAGCTAATGCATCATATTACAACATGTTTAGCACCTGAACTGGTTTCAGTCTTATCTCACCTCTGGATGTCTGCGATCTCCGCTCGCAGTCTCTCGATTTCTTCCTTCTCGGTGGCAATCTGTCTCCGGAGCACCTGCTCTAGAGAGATCAGCTCCTCCTGCTCTGTTAGGATCTCATTTTCCTGATTAGTGAGACACAAGATTATTCCATCATGGAGGATTTTAACACAACTTTAGGTTTTCAGACACATATCTTGTGGTATTTTGTCAGTCCGAACACATTCTTTATTAACTTGTATTGTTGTGTGTTTGAAGGACTCACCTGTGCTAAGAGGAGGTTGATGACTTCCTCTTCATTCTCGGTCATTTCCTCTTTTGAAACATCTTCCTTTGAGAGGCTTGCAATCTCCTGGGCTATCTTACTCTCGCAGTCCTGAAAGGACAAAGGAGGAGAGATGAAGAAATAAAAGCACAATGGTCATTTTTGAGGCCGTAGTTTGTTGTATTATATGTTCATCATAACCACCATGTTTATGTACATTAGTGCTGTAGTTCAACAGCTTGCAATAAGTTGGTTTGATTGTTTGTTCCCTCATTTAAAAACAAACAAACGTACATGTATCCAGCCACAACTCACCTGGCGTTTGGCCTCCCTCAGTTTGCGTTTTAGAGCAGTCAAGATCCTCTGAACCTCCCAGAGACGCTCCTCCTTAGATAAGTCCTTCACCCCGGCCTGCAGGTCCCTGTGCAGGCAGTTCAGCAGGAACTCCTAAAACACAACCACAGCTTTACTAAACGCAAACTACTTCAACTAATTAAAACGAGGACAACAGTCAAACACCTTTTAATCACAGCAGTCGTTGACAAAGTAGAATTTTGAATGATAATCATCAATTTATCGTAAAAGAAAGTTATTTAAATATTTTAGAGAACTTAAAAATCTATAATACCCAATTAAGTAATTTCCAGTGTCTTACTTAAAGTCCTTAAGCAAGAAATGGATTAGGGCAGCAACTATTGATTACTTTCATTGTCCACTGATTTTGTCAATAAAATGTCTGAAAAAAGTTAAATAAAATGGTCATCATAAGTTATGAGAGCTCAAAGTGATATCTTCAAATAGCTTGTTTAGTCCGACAATACTTTAACACAAAGATGTTCAATTAAAAAAATCTGCCGTTCTTGCCTTTTTTGTTTGATTGTTTGACTATTATAAACATATTGTTATTTAAAGGAATAAAGTTTGAGGACCCTCTCATATCTGTCTGTTCAATATGTACTCCAGCTATGAGACAGGTAGCTTAGCTTAGTACAAACACTGGAAACAGCTAGTGAGGCTCTGTCCAAAGGTAAAAACCTCTAAACCTTATTAATTAATGTGTTATTATATCTGGTCCTGGTTTGTTTAAGCCACTCAAACACCACAGTGTAAAAACGTCAAGTTGCGGTTTTACGGACAGTTATGTGCTGGACTGTTTCCCTTTTTATCTCAGACTCCAGTTTCGTATCAACCAGACGGACATGAGAGTGTTATATCTCTCTGCAGGATATTTATATAATTAATAAAGAATTGGCTTCAGCGGGACTGAACCCACCTGTCGGCGGATCTCCTCTTTGACGCTCTCTTGGGTGTCAGGCAGCGCCGGCATGGTGGCCATGTTGGACCAGCGGAGCGGCCGCACCACCGGTTTCAGGACTACGTCTCCAAACAGCTCCCTCACGTGTGTGAAGAACATGTAAAGAACACGGTTCCCAATCTGAACGCAAGGTAAACAAACAAACCAGTGAACACACAGCAAAACACAACCTGCATGTAGTCTTATAGTCTCTTATGTGTGTTGGACTGTACTATGAAACCCAATTCTTTCTGTGCCACCTTCTCCACAACACAAACATATTTACTTTGCCAAATTAAACTCTGGAGTGTTAATTTAAAGCGGTTGTGGCTCCTGCTGCTGTTGGTTCAGAATAAGTGGAACAGCCAAAGAGACATCCCCTATGAGAGTAAATTAGGTTCGCTAAACTAGGCCAGAGTTTTACACAAAACTGACTGACCCAATAAAAACGTGGTTGGTGTGTTGCTGAGGGGAGGTTTCTTATGTTTGAGGTACACTTGAGCCTGAGCTCAAGACATTTATCTAGTTTGCCTGCTGAATTACTGCTCTCTGCAACATTTAAACATTCCCCTCTGACCTGTATGGTCGGGTTGAGGACGATGGAGATATTCTGAATATTCATCTTGGTGTCCGCCTCCCTGGCGATGACGTGGTCCATGTGCGTGACGAGCCAGGAGAGAAGAAGCCGGCTCTCCGGCAACACCTCGGCCAGCAGCCTCTGGAACTCGGCCATCTTCTCTGCCTCCACCTGCCGACCGCAGGCGTCCTCGAAGCGCTGGGCCAGATCTCGGCCCAACACGTTCTCGGGCAGCTCGCGTAGGTACTGCTTCAGGAGGCTGGCCACCGTGTGGGGGTCATACTCCTCCAGGCACGGGCACTCCTCGCGGTCATAAGCCGCTTTCAATTCATCCACTTTGGACTTCATACCTGAGAGGGAAAGCAGATGACGTGAGTATCAATCAGCCTTAAACATCTTGAGATACATTCACATACTAGTTATATCTTTTCCTCAAGATGATGGAAAACAGCTCAAAGTTTCGGTACCTGAGACCCGGTAGATGCCTTCACACTTCATGCCATAACTTTCAATGTAGTCCATGCATTCTCTGAAGACAGCTGGCAGCTGGATACCGTCGTAGAGAGCTGTCCTCTTGACAGCTTCAGTCAGAGGGGCTCCAAAGATCGGCCGGAAGGTGGGGATCTCCACTGGGACCGGCTCGGCCTCTGTCGCGGGTTTCTTCTTCTTCTTCTTCTCCTTCCATTGTTTAACCACGTCTGCAGCCGTCAGGTCCTTGGATTTTTTATCCTTGGCCTTGTCCTCCTTGGGGCCCTTCTCCTTCTCCTTCACCTTGAAGTCCTTCTCCTTCTTCTTGGAGAAGCTGGGCTTCTTGAACACATGGATTCCCTTGGAGCGCTTCATCTTGGACGGGCTCTCTGCTTCGTCCGCTGAACTGTCCTCCTGGAAGGCGGCGTAGCCTTCCGCTGTGAAAGTAACGAAAGAGATGAGAACTGAGGGGAGAAACACCCCTGTTTTCTTATCCTCCTCCTACGACAGAAACGTGATAGCGGTGAAACAGAAACAGGAAGAGAGATGTGTGAGAGAGAGAAGATAGCAAAGGAGGGGGAGAATGGGGGCTTAGAAAAGAGGTCAGACACAGATTTAGCATCGCTCCCACAGCACCTTACGCCTCTCCTCTCGAGAACAGTTTAAGTATTTCTCCTCGGAGCAAACAGCTACACCACAGTGCCAAAGACAGTTAGGGGCCTCTTTGTCTCCTCTAATTATCTTTACACTGGGTTTTCCGGAGAACAAGCGCTGCCTGGGACACACCTTCACTGGGCTATCTGGGTGTGCTCTGAACCGTCCATCTCTTCCTACCCTGGTGGTGTGAAGGCTGAATACAGACATGGAAAAATCCTGATACAAAGAGGACAATGAGCCAGAAAACCACTCGGTGAAAAACATTCTCAGTAAAGGAACATTTCTCACTGCTACAGGCAGCGCCAGCCAACAGGATGGAAAAGTGGGAAGCTCTCTCTCAACTCAACAGCTAATGCTGGGGTGATCGTTCAGCGTCATTATGATGGTATTCAGTCCTCTAGTGCTCAACAGCTGAAGGTACGTGACCTGAAGTACATGACCTGTATGTACATGGTAGGAAGGTGATATTTGTTTCTTATTGTTAAAATATCCCATGACACACAGTTGTGCTGCATAGCACAATAAACTACTAAAACACAATTTACAAAACAGATCAATGAACACTTAAAAGATTTAGCTCATGTGTTGGCTTTGATGAAGCTTCTTAGCAAAAACCCTTAAGATGCTGCCCAAATACTCAATTAGTACTCATCTAATCGTAGAAATGATCATTTAGTGGTGAGCACTTTGCCAAGAATACAAATTATTAT